TTTTTTTTCTAGGTAAGGCTCAATACTTGTCAGCACCCCCTCGTAAAAATCTCTATTTGGAGACACTTTTCATCAAGTCTACTTACAATTCAAAAATTCACAGGTTTGTTTTTCTTAACAGAGACTTTACGGAGCAAGCAAGGGGGAATTGCTATTTAATGCAGCCAATAAAAGACTACTTAATATTTTGTTCTAATATCCACAAGAGCCCACCCTCTTTTGCAGACTGGCATGGGGGCACCTAGTTTATGCACAGGTATAAAGCTGAATCCTACCGCTTTAAAGAAATACACCAAAATGCCATTTAGACCTGTTCTTTCCTCTTACCTTTCCTCATCCTCTTGCTTGCTTCTGCAAAAAATGTGGAAAGTCAAAGTTCTGTGCAGCAACCTCAGGCGTGCTCTGCTCTTTGCATTCCCCACACACACTGCTAATGTAGCAATACAGGAAGAATCACCTTGATGCTTGTCCAGCTGTCCCTGTTAGGTTGTTGTTAACCCATCACTGACTGGTCAATTGCATCTGAGTGGTCAACACAGACTATTTACCAATTTACGGTAGAACAGCGTGGGCAAAGTGCAGGTGTTGGATGCAAACCTCAGACACTGTTGACTCCCATGTCCCTGCAGATGTTGCTTAGTTAATAAGCCCCACAAGGCAAACCACCACAGCCCCCCCCAAAAAAGGAATGCTGGAGATTGCCATACAATAACAACTGAAGGGCTGCACTGTGTCCCCCATTGTTACAGAATAGCAGCAGGAGAGTGCAGTTATCCTCGTGTCCTGCTTGTGGGCATCTCAGAAACATCTAGTTTTGCCTTGGGTCCTTCTAAGGAGAAAGGCATGGTAAAAATATATTAAATAAATAAAATAAATAAATAGTTGGCTACTGTGGGAAATAAAATGGTGGACTGGATAAGACCAGGGCAAAAAGGACTTGGTAATCTGTAGATGTCCAGATATTGGATTCCACCACCCATCATTTTCTATCAGCCTGGGTAATGCTGTCATTAACATCTGGAGGGCTACAGGATTCCCAGAAGGAGAACAATCTTTTATCTGTCAGAACTCTTGTGAAAGAAAATCATGCAAATCAGGCTAGGATGGCCATGTGTCATATTCCATATTGTAGAGGACCATGCTTGAAGGTATGCTCTTTTGACTTGTATCCTCACACTATCATATCCTCATTTTCAATTTTGGTTGGTTGGTTGGTTGGTTGGTTGGTTGGTTGGTTGGTTGGTTGGTTGGTTGGTTGGTTGGGTGGTTGGTTGGTTGGTTGGTTGGTTGGTTGGTTGGTTGGTTGGGTTGGTTTGGTTGGTTTGGTTGGTGGGTTGGTGGGTTGGTGGGTTGGTTGGTGGTTTGGCTGGCTGGCTGGCTGGCTGGTTGGTTGGTTGGCTGGCTGCTTGTTTGTTTGTTTGCTTGCTCGCTTGCTCGCTTGCTCGTTTGCTCGTTTGCTCGCTTGCTTTAATATGCTGTCTTTCTCCTCGTAAGTGACTCAAGGCAGCTTATAGTCAACCTTACCTCTAGACAAGGTTTGGTTCGCCAGTTGCCATTGGGCTGAAGCTCCCAGCTTTGCTCCGCATTGGATGTGCTGCTTAGGACTGATAAAGAGTTTCAGTCCAACACTAACTGGCAAGCTGCCCAAATGACTCAGAGGCTCTTTCATAGAGGAAACTTTCACAGCCCTATTGGGAGCTGCTGAGGGTTTAGTCCTGGGGATGCTCTGCATGCAAAGAAATGGCTTGCAATGAACAGCATGATCCTGAGGTCCTAAGCTGCCTGTGTCAGTGTAGGTGCTGATATTGCCCCGGTTGCTGCCAAAACCCTGTATTATTCCAGGTAGAGGATACTCAGAAGTGGTTCGCCATTCCCTTCTTCTGGGGGCTCCCTGGGACTGTGCAGCTTGCCCAAGGCTACCTAGGCTGGCTCTACTCATCGGAGGCACAGTGAGGAATTGAACTCCCAACCTCTGGCTCTACAGTCAGAGACCTATACCACTGAGTTATCCAGCCAACTGAATTAAAACGCAGTCCTCTCCAAAGGAAAAAATGCTCACCTGGATTTGAGTAAGAAGGAAGTTACGGTAGAAAAGGAGACATTGGGGAGAGGGAGGTTGACCAGTGACCCTCACACCCCCAAACCAAATATCCTCTTTATTTAATTTAGATTCCCACCTCCCCTTTTTTAGCCTTCTGTTCTTGGAAATTATAGATCAAACAGGAGAAATGAGAAAGACACACAATCTCACAGGCGCCAAGTACATATTGACACAAGTTGTAATAAGCCAAAGCCCTAAAAAAAAAAAGACCTGACTCAGCAGAGACCTTCGAGCCAAGAAGTGCAGAACTTTTAATTTCATCACGAATTCAAAAAGATTTCTGCATTTATATCAATAGACACATCTATATAGGCATGTGCATTTTTGTTATTGTTGGGGCTCTCAAATGTTGGTAAATAGAATGCACATGGTTTTTCTACGTTCCAACTGCACTTTAGGAATTGGAGGTAGCCTCCTAACCCTTTTTTCTGTTCTCAGAATGGCTGTGGCGCAGCAATGTTGTTGTTGTTGTTGTTGTTATGTGCAGTCTAGTCACCGCCAACCTATGATGACCTTGTGAATTAGGACCTCCAAAATTTCCTGTCCTCAACAGCTCTGATCATCTCCTGAAAACTCACAGCTCTGGTTTCCTTTAGGGCAACATTGCCATGGGTCAGACCTGGGCAAAATGCGGCCCTCCAGATGTTAGTAAAGGTAAAGGTTCCCCTTGACATTTTTAGTCCAGTCGTGTTCGATGCTAGGAGGCAGTGTTCATCCCGCTTTTCAAGCCGTAGAGCCAGCCCTTGTCCAAAGACAGTTTCCATTGCCATGTGGCCAGCGTGACTAGGGAATGCTGTTTTACCTTCCCACCGAGGTGGTACCTATTTATCTACTCGCATTTGCATGCTTTTGAACTGCTAGGTTGGCAAGGAGCTGGGACAAAGCAACGGGAGCTCACTCCGTCGCGTGGATTCGATCTTACGACTGCTGGTCTTCTGACCCTGCAGCATAGGCTTCTGCGGTTTAGCCCGCAGCGCCACCACGTCCCTTTCTCAGCATAACCCCACCCTCAATTAATCATAGGCATCCTTCAGTCTTGAGAGACTATGGTGACATGCTCTGAATCGAGGAGTGTCCTCTCCAGAGCATGAAGCCCGGGTAAGGTAGTATGGAGGATAGGCTGTTACACAAGCAGCAGATCCTCCCTCTCCACATTGCTGAAATGGTCCAATGGAAAGGCAAGAGCCAATACAACTGGTTCCAGCAATGTCGCAGGAGTTGGCAGAATGACACGAGCTGCCTTCGGGACTCCAGCTCCGGATTTTGCCTCTAGGTTACCTCCTGAAGCCTTTTCCATGAGTGGATATAACCACAAGGCAGTGGAGGTTTGAAATCGGAGTTTTCCTTCTCCAAGATGGGCTGCCTTCCATGGCTGACGAGCACCGCCTATCCGGCCTGCTCTTTAATAGTGTGGAAGTATGATCTGACCCTTAAAACTTTCCTGACTCCCAGGCTTATGCAAATCTAATTGGCTTTCCTATTTACCATATTAAGGCCAGAGACAGAATTTGAGAATTTCGGCGCGTGGTCCTGGGACACGCTCTTTTAAAGCAGAAATTCCCACCCCCTAGGCCCCACCCTCAGGCCATGTGGTGAGGAGACAAAAAGAACCCCCCCCCCAAAAAAAACCTCAGCAAAACATCCATCCTCAATTGATAGTCATATTATTTAAAGCCTGCCCGCTCAAAGTGTGCCTCCTGCTTGCCTTCATGTCTGCTCTGTTCTGTACAACCACAAACTAGCTCCACTACTGCAAAATAACACAGGTCTTCTCTCATCATCATTCTTCTGAAGGAAGCCGACCTTACGTTTAAAACATCATCTACTACTTGAGGGAGAGAAGCTAACGAATGCGTCAGCCCTGCCCGTCCCTGCTCTTATTGCAGCCCTGAATGCAGTTTGCAGTTACAGGTTGTAGGAACAGGATGTATTGTTCTATCAGATTAGATTACTGCCATCCAAAATAAAATTTACCTTGGCAAGAGGAGAGGCCAAACCTTTACAGAGAACAGGTGTCCTTGTGACTGCCTGTACTTTCTGGGTAGTGATGCCTGGGAAGGGTGAAACTTATCCACCAGAAATAAATAGATGCAGTAAACAAATTTGAAAGTTAAGCCTTTCTTTATATGTATTTACAACCCAAAGATGCATATCTCCAGCACAGCAGAGAGGAAGAGCATGCCTTAGTGCAACTCAGTGTCACTCAGCCTATATAATTTTTCCTACCCAAATGCAGAACTTAACTTTTTTTCCCTGTCAATTTAGTTTTGTTTTTCGTTTAATTCTCCGATCTGTCACGGTCTTTTGAATCTTGATTCTGTCTTCTGAAATATTAATCCCCTCTCTAAGTTTGGCATCATCTGTAAAACTGATAAGCACCTACACTATGATGCAAATCATTTATATAGATGTTGGAACTACACCAGACTCAGGACAGAACACTTCTCAACTCCCTTTAGGATGATAGTGAACAAAATTCACACATCCCATATAACTAGAAGGGTCTGCTGCAACCAGCCACAACATACTCACATAAACCACAATCCAGTACCCATTCCAGGCAGAGAATCTGTATTAGGGGTGGGGAGGCCAAAAACAGCAACTTTGGAACAGGACTGTCCAATGAATGTCACCCACCCATCTCCCCTGATGAAAGTGGGCTTATGGATCATCTCACAAAACAGCCTCAAGGACCACATTCCATACCTCTTCCAGTGAGAAAATATGCATTGCACAAAATAGCACACAACAGTGATATTCACATGTCACATCAAGATGAGAGGGAAATGATGTAATAATGTACAAAACATCATCCGGAAGCACATTCCACTAACCACTATCAGTGGGGGATTAAAATTATGCAAGGCAGCCCAGATTAGCGATGTCCAAGTAGGACAGCATGCCAAAACCCACTTGTTCCCATCTCAGGAGAAGGGCCAGATACAACCAACTACAATACAGGCCCAGGTAACACATTCCAGGGCCTCTTCTGGGTCTAAATTTCATATTTTCCAAAAAGGTTTATGAAAAGCATCTTCTAGGCAGAAAACAGCAACCAATTCAGCCGTTATGAAAAGATGAGAGTAATACATAAAACCACCATTGCTTTAAATGGCTCGTAGCAGGTTGGGACTATATTTAGGCAGCAAGCAGAAAAACCCATTAAAATGTAAATGAGGTTTTTCGTGGCACAGTGGGTTGCTGCTGAATTCCAAAAGGATGCAGTGTCAGCAGAGGGCTGGAGTGTGATGAATCTGCTGGATTTGTGTCATGCCAGAAAACCTTCAACAGGAAAGACAAGGACATGGAAGAACTTGCTATTCTTTTATAAAAGTACATTTATGCACATGATTCTTCAGTCCTGCCTGTTAGCGTGTTCCTGGATCCTCTGTCCTCTGCAAAACAAGCAGCTCCCTTGGACTCCTGACAAGCGAAAAGAGTAGGAACAGAAACACAGTAGTATCAGTGTCGGTTCTTTCCCACATTTATTCACCATTCATTTTAAAAACATTTTGATTTATATACCACTGTATTCCATGAGCTTATGGTGTTTTCAAAGGGGCAATATGATGTTAAGCACAGCTTTGTGATTCATGTACAGCAGGACCCTCCTATCTGTGGTATCAATATCCACTGATTCGTTTATTCACGGTCTGAAAAATTATAAGAAAAATCCCCCAAATATGTATTTTTAATGTTGAAGTTACCAGAATTGGTCATGAAAAGAAGCAATAGACCATGCTATGTATAGCATTCACTATTAGAACAATGTTTACTATAATCCCCATTTTTCAGCATTTGCGGGGGTGGGAGGCTTGGGACCCATCCCCTGCGGATACGGGGGTCTTACTGCACACTGTTTCTAAACTGCGACTGGCAGCGAAAGAGAGGGAGGCAATATCATGACAGCAGCAAATGGGTAAATGTAATTTAAAACACTGTCTCTCTGCATGCGTTCCTAAGGAATAACTCGTTGGAAGCTGCCTCTTGCATTGGAAAGAAATGTTCCTTTTGATACACATGCAAAACTTTATCAAGGCAAACAACATCTTTGGCTAAGCATTTTTTCTTTCAAGGCCACCACCATGAGGCAATGGCCGAATTCCACCTGATACCCCTTAAGTGGATCCTGACAGTTTTGTTAAAGGTACAACGAAACGAAACACACCAAAGCGTTGTGGCATCTAACACTTCCAAGCCACTTCTTCTACAAGGCCCACATTAAAATAAGTCTCTTAGTCATCAACGTGCCACAAGACTGCTGTAGGTTTGCCCCGCTTCCTTTTTTGTGTGTGTTCTAACAACTAAACTTTTTGAAAAAGATGCACATTAAGTCCAAAGACATATCAAACAACACATCTCTGGTTGGCTTTAAATAGCCCCCACCTGAGGTCCGTGCAAATAGATCGTCCACCTCCGCAGAGACCTGCATTCACCTTGTACTGATTAACACTGAACCAGGTGGGATCCTATCCATTGCTGTGGCATTCATCTCAACCACACATGTGTTCTGCATTCTAAAAATATGTCTCCTGGCAACCATGCTTTTATTGTCCCAGAAGGCACAGGGCACTGAATTGCTCTGTGACTTTTCAATAACAGAAGGGAATGGCAGTCACCAAAATAGTAATAAACGGATGAATAATGGAGACCGTGGTTTACCAAGGACAGGTTCTAGAAACAAAGATATGGCAGCATGAAAGGATCTGATTCACTAGAAATCCATTAGCCCAGTCTCCTGCTGTTGGAGAAAATCAACTGCTACAGTATCTCTCCAACAGACCTTATCTCATCTCTGCTAAAAGCTTCTAATAATAAAAAAAAAACACACACCACAATTTCTAGGATCTAACTGCTTCCCAAGACCATTTATAAAACAGCTCATACAAACAGGAACTTTTCAGTAATGTCTCATCAAAATAGGGGGTTTACTTACCTGTAACCATGGTTCTTCAAGTGGTCATTCTGTGAATTCACACAAAAGGGTTAACTCCAGCACTAGCCTAGGTCCTCTCGGAACATTCTCGAGCTGTAAGAGAAAAGTAACAAATCTCAGACTGCCTATATCGCGCATGCTCCCGCCCGCCCTACCTTCAGTTCCATTTATCCGCCACAGGTACCTGAGCGTGAGCTAGGCATAACCAGTGACAGATAGAGGGGAGGCAGGGCGGGATTGTGTGAATTCACAGAATGACCACTTGAAGAACCATGGTTACAGGTAAGTAACCCTCCTTTCTTCATCGTGGTCTTCTGTGAATGCACACAAAAGGGTGATTAGCACGCTTACTCACCGGATGGTGGGCTGTCACTGGAGGACAGACGTCAACACCGCTCTCCCGAATCTCGTCTCCTTTTTTGCTCTTAGGTCTAATCTATGATGGTTGATGAACGTGGAGGCATTAGACCATGTAGCTGATCTGCAGATATCAGGCAGGTCAACTCCTCGTAGCAGAGCAGTAGATGAGGCTATGGCCCTGGTGGAATGAGCCCTAAGCCCTTCAGATGGACTTCTATGGTGAAGTTCGTAAGCAAGTGTGATTACAGAGACGAGCCATCTAGAAAGCGTTGGAGACGATGCTGGAGAACCCTTCTTCGCACCAAAATAACAGAGGAAGAGTCTATTAGAATTTCTAAACTCTTTAGTTCTGGACACATAGAAGGCCAATGACCTCCGCACATCAAGCATGTGGAACATGCGCTCGACGTCATTCGTTGGGGATGGAAAGAGGGTTGGTAGTATGAGAGGTTGGTTAATATGAAAGTCAGACACAACCTTAGGGAGGAATGACACATCCAGGTACAGCATGACCTTGTCTTTGAAGAATTGAAGGAAAGGTTGGTCGGCACGTAAGGCAGCCAATTCACTCGCTCTCCTAGCAGACGTTATCGCCACCAAAAACAATGTCTTGAGGGACAACATCTTGAGGTCACAGGTGGCCACTGGTTCAAAGGGGTGACGGGCGAGGGCATGTAAGACCAAACTAAGTGACCACTGTGGAACAGGCGGACGAATGGGCGGCCTCAAATTGGTGATTCCTTTGAGAAAGGCCTTAACGGTAGGATGAGAAAATAGACGTGAGGAAGGCGAGTCTTTAGGCTGGAAAAACATTACAGCAGCCAGGTAAACTTTTATAGTAGAAACAGAGAGTTTAAAATCGAACAAATAACGTAAATATTGTAACACTGTTGAAAGACAGGCAGGGGATGGAGAAAGACCCCTTTCTTCAACAAACCGCAAAAAGCTTTTCCATTTATAATTGTACAACTGAGACGTGGAAGGTTTTATAGCACGGTCTAGTACTTCTTTGATCTTTGGGAGATCCTCCACGCCGTTAAATGAAGTGTCTCTAGATCTGGATGAAGAACATTGCCCTTGTTTTGAGTCAAAAGATTCGGCAGTAAGGGAAGCTTTTTGAAATCCGTGGCCATCCGCATCAACGTGGGAAACCAAACTTGCCGAGGCCAGAATGGTGCTACAAGAATTGCTCCTACAGGTGAGTGATGAAGTTTCACCAAGGACCTCTGTATGAGAGGAAGAGGTGGAAACAGGTAGAGTAGGCCTTGATTCCAAAGAATCATGAATGCGTCCCCTAGGGAGTTCTGACCCAAGCCGGCCCTGGACGCATACATGGCGCATTTCGTATTGTGAGGAGATGCAAAAACATCTAGGACTGGAGTCCCCCATTGGCGACAACGTTCCTGGAACACCACAGGGTGTAATTCCCATTCGTGTGTCTGGTACTGAAGACGACTCAGCCTGTCTGCCACAGTGTTGTCCTCTGTGGCCACATGAATAGCTACCGGGTACACATGATGTTGGTAGCACCACTCCCAGAGATGGACAGTGAGATACAGGAGCGATTGAGACCGAGTCCCGCCTTGTTTGTTGACATAGTGCATGGTAGTGGTGTTGTCTGTTACTAACTGCACACCACGACCTTGCACCAGAGGAAGGAACGATCGAAAGGCCTTGATGACTGCCAACATCTCCAAGTGGTTTATGTGAAGATTTGTCTCCTGTGTAGTCCATAGTGCGTGGATGTTGTGCCGGCCACAGTGAGCGCCCCATCCTGTCGGACTGGCGTCCGTTGTAACTTGAACAGAGAGTTGGAGTGGACGAAAGGGGCGACCCGCCATGAGATGTGGGGTGTAACTCCACCACCTGAGTTGCTTGAGTAATTCTGGGGTGACTCGAAGGCGCTTTCTTTGACTGTCCCTCATGGGGTCGAAGAGAGCTAGATACCAAGACTGGAGTGACCGTAGTTTGAGTCATGCATGCGCTAGGGTAGGAGTAGTGGATGACATGAGGCCTAGGAGATGTTGCACATGATGCGCCGTCACACGGCCGTGTGGACGAAACTTCTTGATTGCCCTCTTTATCTTTTGAATTCTGTCTGTGGGTAGAAAAATACGTCCCTTGATGGCATCCAGACATGCTCCTATGTACTGAACTGTCTTTGAGGGTATGAGATGTGATTTCTTTGTGTTCACAGTGAGACCCAGAGTTGGCAAGAGACGTAGAATGAATCTTGTGTCTTTCAGAGCCTGTGCTTTCGATGGGGAGACCACCAGCCAATCGTCCAAGTATGGATAGACGTGGATACCTTTGAGGCGGAGGTAAGCCGCAACCGGGGCCATCACTTTGGAGAACGTTCTGGGAGCTGTGGATAGTCCGAAAGGTAAGGCCAGGAACTGGTAAATTGTTCCTTGAAAAATAAACCGGAGATACTTGCGGTGATCTGGGTGAATGGTAATATGGAAGTATGCATCCTTCAAGTCTATCAGGGCAAACCAATTGTTTTTCTTCAACAGGTGCAGGATGGATTCTAGAGTCACCATTCGAAATCGTCTGGGACGCAGGTAAGCGTTCAGCATTCTTAGATCGAGGATAGGTCTCATACCTCCATCCTTTTTTGAGACGGCGAAATACTGGGAGTAAAAACCATTTTTTATGTCGATGGGAGAAACTGGATGAATGGCGACCTTTTCCAGAAGAGATAGAACCTCCTCTTCTAACACAGGATCGAAAGTAGTATGATTTATGAATCCTAAGGGAGGAGATTCTATAAATTCCAGCCGGTAACCGAACTGAATGATTTTTAAGACCCATGTGTCGTTTGTAATAGCAGACCAATTGTGCAGGTATGGAAGAAGACGTGTGGATGTGGTAGGGTTTCTGACTATTAATGGAATGAAGTCAAAGGTACTGTTTTGACTTCCTAGATGCTGGTTTAAAGGACTGACGACGTTGAGACTGGTGCGGCCTGAAACTGGGAGCAGAAGAGGAAGATTGTCCCGAACGCTGTTGAGGTACGTTTTTGTAGGGGCGGTATTGCTGAGAGGGTTGTTGATACTGGGCATAGGATTTCCTCCATTGAAACTTCCTGAATTTAGGTTGAGCTTGAATAGAGTAGGACCTGGCGGTCTTTTTTGCCTTATGAAGATCTTCTAGGTGAGAATCAGTCTTCTCATTGAACAGACCACGAGCATCAAAGGCAAGATTTTCTACCTTAGCCTTAACATCTTCCAAGATATCAGCAGACCTCAACCAAGCATGTCGCCTGATGGTCACAGCAGACATGAGGACTCTGGCAGCAATCTCTGCTGCATGACGTGTGGCCAGGCGTTTGTGTTTGGAAACCGTCTGAGCCTCCTCGTAGGAGTTTAAAAACCCCTGGCGAACATCTTCTGGAATAAGTCTAAGTCCTGGTAAAATTTTTAACCAAAGCTGCTTTTGATACGCTCCCAAGGCCATTTGATAATTGATGACACGAAGAAGAAGGGTGACCAAGGAATAAACCTTCCTTCCAATAATTTCCAGTTTCTTTCCTTCCTTGTTAACCGGCGTAACATGAGACTTAGATGAAGGTCTAGAACAGCTTGTTTCTACCACTAAGGAATTTGGGATAGGATGCTTCAAGAGAAATTTGGTATCTGAACCATGGACTCGGTAAAAGTTCTCAGTCCGTCGAGGAACAGCTGGAGTATTGGAAGGTTGTTCCCAAAATTCCTTTATGATTTCCATAACGGCCGGTACAAATGGCATGCTAGGAGGAGCAGTTCTGTCCTTCTTAATGTCTCCAAGAATCAGATCTTCTCCCGGGGGAGATGGCAGATCCAAGTCAAGTTTTAACGCTTTCGCCAACCGCATGAGCATCTGGGAATAAGAGGAAAAATCCTCTGAAGGTGAGGAGGCATGAGGATGTCCAGTGTCAGAACCCACTATGTCTCCTTGTGGCAAATCACCCCCCGATGGGGGGGGGAGGACGCTCCTGATCTGAATCGGAGGATGAATCCATAGACACTTCATCTGGGTCCGAAGAGAAAACATCTCTCTTTTTCCTTGGAGGCAGCTTTTCGGCCTCGACAGGCAGTGGATGAGGTCGATGTGGGGGAGCTGTCGATGCCGACGTCGAAGGCACGGGCTGTGCCGTAGGAGCAGGAGGCACGACAGGCTGCTCGACCTCGATGCGTTAGACTCAACGACGTCGTCGAGGACGCGGTGAATCCGACGAGGAAGAGATATAGACATACTTAATCTTCTTTCGATGTCGATCTCGGGGTGGAGACGTAGACGAAGAAGAATCTGAACGTGAATATTCCCGTCGACGCCGACGGTGCTTTCGACCTCTTGGCCTTTCAGAATCGTCAGAGATCGAAGAGGAAGACCGACATCGATGCTTGTGCCGACGTCGAGAAGACCAGTGCTTCTTTCTCGAGGAGCGTTTACGTTTCGGAGACCCCGATACCGATCGATTTGAGGATTCGGAATGGGTCGAGGTACGACGCTTCCTCTTAGAGGGTCGTTTCTTCCGAGGAGACTTTGATCTCGAACGCTCCAATGAGACCGAATGGCTTGAAGAACGGTGCTTTTTCTTTCCAAGGCGCTTCCCTCGAGGGGACTTCGACCTCGAACGCACCGGTGAGACCGAATGAGCCGAAGACCCCTGGCCGGTTGGTAACGGGCTATGTGGGGTCAGAGTTAAGCCTGCGGTAACTCCAGCAAGCTGGCTCGGCGTTGGAGAAGATATCCCCGCCGGCAATAATGGCTCAGGCTGTCGAGGAGGGAGCGAAACGGCTGCCTCCGACAACGTCTCAACATCCCTCGACGAATCTTCTAACATCGGTGACGGAAGCGACTCGGAGATCGGAGAGAGCTGCAGGGGAGGCTCTTTAGATTTTACCATGGCCTTCCCCTTAGGATGTTTGGAGGTTTTCGGCTTCGATGGAGCAGGAGCCGCCGAAGAAGCATTAGAAGACTTAGAGGACGAAGCCTTCTTGGAAGGTTTCGAAACTTTGGAAACCACAGAAAGTACAGGAACCGCAGCAGGACGAGAAGAGGTGGAAGCCATCTCACTCGTAGAAGGCTCTGAAGAAGCTAAAGTCGATTCCCAAAGATGGTATTTGAGACGCTGTTGACGAGCCTTGAGAGCAGCTTTTGTAAAAGCTTTACAGTGTGGGCAAGATCTTGAAATGTGCGAATCCCCTAAACCATATAAACATTTATCGCGTCCGTCTTGTTGGGGGATCTTTCTATCGCACACCACACACCTGCTGAAGGGTCTGGAGGGGGACATAAAGTTGGGCACGGTCCCCTCAAAACCGTTAGCGGCAGAGAGAAAAAAGGCGGGAAGTCCGATATAGCCAAGGCAAAGGGAGTTAGCGAATGGGAGAAATCCGAAAGGCAGTCCGTGTCAATATCGTAGAGAAAACAGTCCGAATAAAGGGAATATAGGGAGTAAAATACTCTATAAAGCACAAGTCAGTGTAGCTCGAAGCGAGAGGTTCCGAACCGCTAGGCGGAAAAATGGAACTGAAGGTAGGGCGGGCGGGAGCATGCGGGATATAGGCAGTCTGAGATTTGTTACTTTTCTCTTACAGCTCGAGAATGTTCCGAGAGGACCTACACTAGCGCTGGAGTTAACCCTTTTGTGTGCATTCACAAAAGACCACGATGAAGAACCTGTTTTCCTTTCATTTGAATTGTTTGGGTTGCCAATGTTTCTTTCTAAGCCCTGCTTTTAAGTATGAAGATTTACCTGAACTCCTGTTTCTTCCAGGAAATACCACTTCCACTTCAGAATAGGGAGGAGGAGGGTCCGGGGGCCCAGGGTAAGGCGGTGGCCCTAGTGGCAACATGTCGAAAGAACCTGTAAGGACACAGTAGCCAGGTTGGTATCTTCCAGGTATTCTGGACAAATGCTATCAGAAATAACCAATTGCCTATCCTTGTACTAAGGAGCAGACTAAAGAAAAATAGATCAACGATAGCTAAACGGATAGCATCAGGGACAAAGTTATGCCCATAGCTTTATCAAGTGCAGAGTCAGAGCAACAGACGTAGTTACTTTGTCTGGCAAGTCAACTGAGAAAACACGTTCATTTTCTCCTGCCTTTGAATAGGAGATGCCAGTCCTTCTTCATGCAAAGCAGGTCTTCGAACAAGCAAACTAAAGTTCCTCCTGAGAAAATTATTAATTTAAACACTGTAACAAGAAGCTTCTTAAAAAGCAACTTGTAAAAATGTTTAAGCTAACAATTTATTACTGCTAATCATTATGGCATGTGTGTGTGTGTAACATTCTTGTTACTCAAAATATCTGTATTCAGTGTTAAGATGAGCACTATGACTTCCTCCAACCTTTGTAATTGTTATGTGGACACACCTGGGAGTTCAGCCTCACTGAACTTAGTGGAACCTGTTTCTTAATAGATAAGGATGTAGTTTAGAAACACCCTTTATCACCCAGGAATGTAAAGAATAACTGCTAGTGTTATACCTGCCCATATCCTATTCTCAAACAGGAAAAAAAAGGCAACATTTGTGTGTGTGGGAGGATCGAAATCAGCCAAGCTTCACCAACCACCGGAGGTGATAGGATCAGCTCTGCGAGATCATGAGGACTGATGGTAGAAGGAGATTTGCTTCTACCATCTTAAGTCCACCCAATCCAACTGGAGGGCAATCCAGTGTCAAATTTTGAATTACTTTCTCTCCGTTTTTCAGAGTTCCCATACATACTTTCTGAAACAAAATTAGCACTTTAAAGGCGCCAATATGCTCCAAAGAGTCAAGCTGTTTACATAATCAACACTTCATCCGCTGGCACTTTGAATGCTTATTATCTGTGCTTGCGACTGGACTTCACCCACATTTTTCCAACCCTATATATAGTATATACAGTATGGACCTGTGGTTATGTGTTCAAGGCAGTGGACACATGGAAGTGCACACTGAAATAAATGTTTAAGGTGCTATGTTATTTTGGTTTGTTTTTTTTAAAAAAAACATGCTTTGCAAGGCATGTGAAGCATGTCATTCTGCCTTTGAACTCTGTCATCTCGGGATAAGAAGTAACTTTTCCTTGAATTGTCCTTTCAAAGGTTAGCATGAACAGGAGACAATAAATTTGGTGGGAAATCTCATCGTATTTTTGCATCAAGATGAAGCTGGCACTGTGAAAGCCAGGTCCTTATTTAAATAAGCCACCATGAAAGGATCTGGAGTGTAGTTGTGGTTAAAGAGCTTCTCCATAGAAAAGACAAGCCACATAATATTCAGTAACCAGGCTAAACCATCATTGTGTGCTTACGAACTGTCCGAGGTGCAGCAGGATGAGCGTAGGTGTAGATGGAAGCAGTGGGATATTCCTGGAGGTTGGTACCTTCTCTCAAAATGTCTGCCGGAAAGGAGAGGAAAGCAAGCCCGTTGAAAAGAAAACACTACAATAAGGCTAATTACTTTTTTTATCCTGCTATTCCTACAAAGAGTTCCAGGAAGCATACATCATTCCTCCTTGAACCACATCATCCTTGCAACAACATTGTGAAGTAAGCTTGTGTGACAGACGGCCACTTGTTGAGTATCACCTCAGTGAAATTTGCACGTGAAAGAGAATTTGAACCTGATTCTTCCCAGTACTGGTTTGAGACATTAACGGAGCCCCACAGTGCTCTGAGTCATGTGGAAGAAGAGGACATAGAGAAAACACATTTTTAGCTGCAGAGATCCATGGTTCCACAATGGGAAACACCCTAACTCATGATGCAAGGAATCTCTCACAGAAGCGGGTGATGCGCTTGGAGGAGCTTGAGGGCCATGTTGACAGAGAGCAAGCTGAGTGAAACCAGGAATGACAGGAATATTACTTCCTGTGTGAGAAAGTAACATTTGTAGATGGGAAGGGAAAAAAAGACACCTCCTTTGCTCCAACAACGTGGAGGTTGGAACCCATCTGGAGTCAAGCCTGAGTTTGTGGAGAAACGGCTCTGACAGGGGCCGGTCTTGTTTTAGAGCAGAATCATGCCCCATGAAACTGCAATCTCCTCATTTTTTTTTCTCACCAAAAAGTTTTGTTTTTTAATTAAGGAATCTCTGGTGGCTGCAAAAGCAGGCTTGGAAGAACCCTTTGATTCCCAATACTTTCCCAACAATACTTTCCCAAAAATCTCCCCCTTGGATAAATGCACTCCGAAGCCTTTTGAGTGGAGCAGAAGAAAGAGCAGGCTCTGGATTGAAATTTTCTACAGACAAAACTCACCTGCTTTAGCCAGATCTTTGATCATGTTTAGGCACTCGGATGCTCCATATTGGAAGGTGAATTTGAAGGCAAGGACTCCCTGGGTAGAAGCTGAGGAGGAAAGACTACAGTCAGTGGGAACTTAGTCAAGCCTGGGGCATAACAATGGAAAACAGATTCTTTCCATCTCATTCACTCCCTTTTCCCCAAAGCTGGTCCCCCCGCCCCCCCCTTTGAGACACAACAAATGAGACTAGGATTCCAAAAAGTACATTATTATTTCACATCGGCTCTGTTTTGTTCTATTTCTGTTGGTACCTGGTGGGGGAAGCACTGAATTTCCTACTGGGAAGCAGTAGAAACACACTTCTCCCAGACAGAAATAAGAAACGGAAGCGGAGTTTGGAAGGGATGCTTTTTGGATGGCAGCTCCCAAAATCTGGAAGCATTCTGGAATTGTAGTTGAAACAACAAAACAAACACCATTTCCCTGGTTGCAAATTAATTCCTCATTTCTCTAACTGGGCAGTTAGGAGAGGGGGAGGGTAAACATTACTCTCATACAGGAAATTAATGATAAAATATTGTTATTTTGCCATATTTCAAAATTCCTCTGTTGTTGGTACCCACAATGGGGGAGTTACAGTCGTCACTTCCATCCTATTCCCCCCATTTTTTCTAGCCCCCACCCCACCCAACTTAAGGAACAGAGCAGAGGGATTCTGTCCTCATTTGGCTATGTTTCATGATGTCTGCCTCCTTTCACAATGCTGTATTTTTTCTTATATCTTTTGCTAAAATATTTCTGCCCTGCTTGTGCCTATGGCATTTACATCCTGAACAAAAGAGGGAAAATGACATATCAAACATACAGTAGAACCCAGCATGGCATATACATCCTCACAACCGGAAGATCTATACCAGGAGATTTTGAGATGAGGAGAATTTATTTATGGGTTTTTAGTTCTCCACTGACACTCAAGAGTCCCTAAAAATGAACTTCTAAGGGCCAAGAAGGTCACTTCCAATTATTTTTAAAAAATGTTTTAAATAACATGGCCCAGAATAAAATAATCACACCCTTTAGGGGCAATTCAAATGTAGAATATGTGATACTTTTATTCCGACCTGGTCTCTAAATTTTTTTTAAAATAAAAAACCATTTTAAAAGGAAAAAAAAATTGAGGGGCAGCGGCCGTTTTATAGGGCCAATGAAATGATGAACTGATTAGTAGTTTGTTCTGTAAACGTTCAGATATTTGTGGTTCGTAATTCGTGGACCGCAATGAACTACGAACTGAAACAAACCACCATTTTGCTGGCTTATGCCCATCTTTAGTCAGAGGGAAGGTTCTCTCCCTTTCTGAGGAATTGCCAAAAATATTTTCATGGAAAAATTGGCCCCTTTATGGGCTGAACAAGCAACTGCAGAAGCATGGGCTACATTATTACCACGTCAGTCGGATTCCTCCCACTCTAAACTCTGATTAGTGATCCCCAACATTTAGTCACAGAATCATAGAATAATAGAACCAGAAGGCGTGTATAAGGGCACTGAGTCCAACCCTCTGCAGGGATCTAAATCACAGTATACTGACAGGTGGTTGTCTAATTTTCTCTTGGATGCCTCCAGAGTTGGAGCGCTCACCACTACCCGAGGTAACTGGTTCCACTGTTTTACTGCTCTAAAAGTTAGGAAGTTTTTCCTGATACTCAACTGAAATTTAGTTTCCTGCAACTTGAGCCCATTGTTAACGTGTGCTGCACTTTGGGATGACTGAGAACAGATCCTGCCCCTCCTCTCTTTCAAGTATTAGAAAAGTGCTATCCTATCAGTCTTCTTTTCTCATGGTTAAACATCCCCAATTCTTTTAGTCCCCTGGCCATCCTGATTGCCCTCCTCTGAACCTCTTTTGAGTTTGTCAGCATCCTTCTTAAAATGTAGGGTCCAGAATTAGATACAGTATTCAGTATCAGACCTAAACTTAAAGTGGAATAGAGGGGAAGTAGTACTTCATCGAAACAAGTAACTTCATATTTCTGTTAATGCAAACATTGCACACATTTTGCAAATCATCACAACACAAGTGTCTCTTCCCTCCATAATCCCTGTAACCTTTTTACTTTCTTATGTTGTCTGGGTGCCTTTTCCTTTGTCTTGAAGGATTCTGGGAAGTTCTACTAATATATTACTCTGCGTATTCGCAAAGGCTTTTACGGCCGGGATCTAATGATTGTTGTGGGTTTTTCAGGCTCTTTGGCCTTGTTCTGAAGGTGGTTCTTCCTAAAGTTTGGCCCGTCTCTGTGGCCTGTGGCCTGCTCTGATCAGCATGCTGTCTGAAGATGCCGGCCACAGAGACTGGCGAAACGTTAGGAAGAACAACCTTCAGAACACGGCCAAAGAGCCCAAAAAACCCACAACAACCATAATTACTCTGCCTTTATCTCCTTGGTTTCCCTTTTTCTTTTCCTCCGGTAGACCCTTCCCTTACTATTTCTTCCTCATCAAGCTCCATTTAGCTCTTCCTGGTCACTCACTTGCTGGGGCCTGCTGTGCTCTTCCAGACGCCTCTTCATGACATTTCAAAAATATGGGGAATATTTTTCGTTTGTTTGCTGACTCTTTCCTCCCCTTCGGGCCAATATAAACTACAACAGTTGAAGGATCTAGGGCCTGAAATGTGATACATACCCAAGCTTCCTCTGATATGCTGAGATTTGAGGCCCAGTTCTTCTTCTAAAACACACTCTCCTAAGAGGTGCAGCGGAAAACGGATGATGGTGGAACCTTTATCTTTGTGCTGGAATATTATCTGGGAATGCAATTAAGAAGTTATGTGAGAAAAGATAGTGAAACGTCTGAGAATTTTAGTTTTTGGAGAGATGACTAGAAAATTGATACCCTTGCTTGATTTTCTTTCACCCACCCCAGAATTCTTACTTTATATTGGGTAAGGTATAACATCCCTTTCTTGGCACCTCTGAGTTCTTCTGGGAAATCCGGCTGCCCTTCCAGCAATAACGACACCTCATTGTAGTGAGCAAGGACCCTGGAACAAAAGTAATCAGTCAAGTCACATCCTGAAGGAATGAGCCATGAGGAAAAGAGACCTCATGAAAATATAGAGATGTGAATGAGAAATACCAGGTATGACTGTGATTACACTGGCCCTTTCCGAGTGGGCTGCTGTGATCTAAGTAGGGTCGCTTGAGGTTGGGTTCAGGAGCAATATGCCGTTTGGTGTGATCCATGTATCCAAATGGCGTATGGACTTCAAGAAACCCTTTTTAGTCTGATTTCTTCCACTGTCAATTTCGAGTATAATGAAGTGGTTTAATAAATGAGCCACTTCAGGATATCAGCAGATTGAACATTTCTCCTGCTCCTCTGCGGAGAGGCAAGGGAAGCGAAATTACTATTTTTACCTCTGCTAGATCATCACTGATGCACTGAATCACTTACATTAAATTAAAAAAATATTTTCTTTGCCTTGTGTGTAAGGAACTGTCTGTAGCTGTGGTTTTTCATTGGCACTTCACAAAAAGGCAAAGAAAATTTTAAAAAATTTAATCTAAGTGATTCAGAGTATCAGCTGGGTACTCAATATGCAGACCTCCGAGGGATGGAAGGCTGAATGAACCTCGAGCTGGAGAGGGATGGAAGGCTGAATGAACCTTGAGCTGGCTATCTGGGATGGAACCCAGGTTGTGACTAGAGTTTTTGCTGTAGTTCTGGGATGGAATCCAGGTTGTGACTAGAGTTTTTGCTGTAGTACTACAGTTTAACCACTGCACTGAGGCAACTGGATCAGGATAATTCAAATCTCTCATTACTACTTCATTGTGTCTCTTTGAAATTATTAGAATTTATTTTCCAAAGGTTTCATCCACATCTTCCTCTTGATTGGGCTGTCTGCCATGTCCCTTTTGTTTTTCACCCCTGTTCTATTTATCGAGATATTCTTGAGGGGCTCATTTGATATATACTGCAACTACACTTCCCTTTCTATTCTTTGTGTTCTTCTCTGAAAAAAAAAACACCTTAAATTGCTGTATTCCAGTCACGCGAATCATCCCACCACCAAGTTTCAGTTATCTTGCAACTACACTTCCCTTTCTATTCTTTCTGTTCTTCTCTGAAAAAAAAAACCTTAAATTGCTGTATTCCAGTCACGGGAATCATCCCACCACCAAGTTTCAGTTATCCCTATCAAGTCATATTTCTCATCCTGAACTAAGATTTCCAATTCTTGTTTTGTCTTCTGTGCTCCTGGCATAGAGGAGATTTTGTGATTCATGGCCTGCTTTCCTTTGTACTTTTTTTAAAGGAAGATTATTATTGGCTCCCATCAGATCTGCTCAGTCTGTTCCCTTTCTTTTGCACAAAGCTTCATCTATTTTTATCTCAGAGACTGGGCCATCCTTCCCCTTCCAATTCAGCTTAAAGACTTCCTGATGAAGTTCAAAGTCATTCTTCCCAGTCCTTATGAGATGCAACCCATCACTTGCCAGCAGTTCATTTTCCAGGCAACTTTGAACTGCATCTTCTTTAATTGCATATTATCTCTCCTCCCCACCAACATCTGAAATTCTTGGGTATCTCAGAAGTTACACTTAAAAAAAAATTAGCCAGTATAATCTTGGCTTTATGGCTGTGTCACCATACTAAAATCAGGCAGGCTTTTCAATCCATTCCATCTATTAGACATTAATTGTGAATATTTAACATCTCTCATTGTTGCCTGTTTTTAATGTTTATTTAGAATTGTATTCATTGATTAATTTAACTTACTGTTGTTGATTTTTGATCTCTTGTTCTGTTATATTTTATGATGCCATATCAATTTGTAATGTTGGTCTTTTATGATTATTGTGTTTTACTCTCTATTGTACACAGCTCAGTGTGGCCCCTGGCCAAATGGCTCAGTATAAAGCATAATACATAAAATTTTACTAACATATTCCTATCAATAAGGCTCATTTTGGGTTCTAGTTTCTGGGTAGTATTATCACTTTTAGTATTCTATGCCCATATTTGAATGACACACATCTTTGCACTGAATCATTTCTTGATCCTCCCAACTGCCTTGGAATAATTTCCATTTACCTTTCCTGAGAACTACTGGCTGACCTCGAGAACTGATACCGAGCCACTTCCATGGCAAGACACAAGTCCTTTTTTTTTTTTTTTTTTNGCCAAATAGCCACACACTCACTTTAGCTGAGGCGCACTGGAGACACAATGAGAAATGTCTGAACTATGCAAGGATCTCTGTGATGTCAACGCATGAGGTAACAGTATATGCTTTGGCTTGGAACTGGGGCTGCTGGAAGCCCTGTATTTTAAGGGCTGTTCTCACATACGATCTTTCTGCACACCCCTTTCTTCCAACAGGAATATTTCTTGCTGGTTCAGTTTTACTAGACCAGTCACTCCTTTCTCATACTGGCAAAGCAGATGCCCACAGGTAGAGTACAGCCAGAGCCACTTGGGACTAAGCTTTCACAAGGACCACATCTCCCTTTACAAGTGTTAAGGTAATTAGCAAAGGCCTTTCTCTTGGTCCCGTCACTTTCATGGGTGTCCTTGCTGTGTACATGGAAGAGGCCCTTCTCTGTTGCTGCGCGCAGACTTTGGAATTCCCTTCCACAGGACGCTAGGCTGGCCCCATCTCTTCTGTCTTTCCGCAAAGACCTTTCTTTTCAGTTAAGCTTGCTCCGAGTGACTGGCTGCCTGAGAGATTTTCAGTGGATTGTTGTACCTTACTGCTTTGAACATGCATTGAGGTTGCTTTTGTTTTTTGGTATGCTACTTGTTTGATCCTTTTATACTCACTGTTGCTGCTTTATATACTGTCTTTAAATGATGTAAGCCATCTTGGGTCCTTTTTAAGGAGAAAGGCGGGGTAAAAATATTGTAAATAAATAAATAAACTTCTGCTTACATGTCTCCCAACTGGTATTCAGGGGCATACTGCCTCTGATTCTGGAGGGAATATATAGGCATTATTATGTATTTGCCTAGCAAGTACAACAGATAACCACATCTATTAACTTGTTTATTTGACACACAAATTGCAAAATTGCTTAAGATAAACATATCCTTAGCTACAATGTTGCCACTATGTACAAAATACATGATAAATGTACTACACATAGAAAAATACAGTATGCAATAAGTATATACAGTACAATGTGCAAAACATGGCAAAAGTCAACATATGGAATTGATATTTAGGGTGCAAAGAGCAAATACAAAGGCATCATGGTTTGCTTTTTTATATATATACAAAGGCATTGAACCACAGGGTGTGCTGTTTGCCAATTCCCTTTAATCTAACACTAAAGACCTGGGCAGAATGGTATTTATCTCCTTTTTTTCACAGAGTGAGATGCTAAGACGTTATTATGACAATGAAAAGAAGAAGAGAAATAGCCACATTTCAAGCATGAATTCTACCACAAGCAAAATGATGAAGAAAAAAGATCTCTTTTACATAACGATCCGTGCTCAGTTCGTTTCACAGCCAAGAAGAGGAATTGCTAGACAACAAAACATATGCAACGCCCAAAATATCTACATCCTTTATTTAAAATTTTTAAAATCCCTTGGAAAATATCTGACATATCTATTTTTCTTAATAGATTGTAAGAGGCAGTGTGCTTACACTAGTCTCCTCCTTGGCTGCAGAAGTGGTGATATTGTAGTTGTTGTCGTCATATAACCTTGCTATTAGCATTCATTTAAGGCTCCTGCACATTTTAAAATTGTAACACTAAATTGTCAAAAATCCTGGTTTCAATTTTTTTTTGTACAAGAAATGCATAAAAGTGGCTCCTTTACAGTCATTCTGATATTTGCCAGATATTTCTGTTTAGATTACATTACTAGTCCATAAATATTCTGTTCAGTTACACATAATGAAAAACAGAATGACTCTGAATTGCAGTTAAGTCAGAAAATTTTGTAGATTTGTCTATTGGTAAAAAAAGTACTGCAGCTTAAAAATCTGCAGCTTAACCAACTTAATTTGATAATTTCTAACAGCTAGTATAAGTAATCAAAAAAATCCTTACATGTTCATGAAACATTTACTGATTGTTTGAAAGATACATAGGGAGAAAAAAAAATAACTTCTTGTTGAGATGGCACTGCAGCCCAGTTTAGCTTTTCAACATTTGAGATTCAGTATCACCATATATTAGACTCCCAATTTAAAGGGGTTGTGCACCCAAATATATGTGCAACAGCAATTCCATATTCCAGTCCTAACAGAAATGTGCTTCTGTTGGATCTTCCCGCTTCCGCCAGAATCAGACATCCTTCTCACGCGCAACCCCAAAAATGCTCCAGTTTGTAATAGGTGAACGGATCGGGAGCAGGTTTTTTTTGTAACACATAGGGCTGCAGCAGGAGAAAGAAGAAAGTCCCAGTTCCAGTAACATTGAATACCAAAGTACACCATGGGAGCTGGACCACTAAATTTAATATCTATTTAACACCAACTTTGTGCTAGTAGTTTTCCAACTTGTTTAATAATATGAGCACAATCTAGGCAAGAGATGGGCTTTTGTGTTGGTTCAAATGGGAATTAGAAGCACCTGACTTCCATCTTGCTTATCATGACCAGTAAAACTGATGACTTTCCTGGAAGATGGATTATGCACCAACATAATGACACATTTTCTACCAGCCATATAAAGCCCTTGGGGCTAAAGTATTATCTGGTCCTCTGTTTTTCAGACCTCTAGGGCAGCTGGAAATCTTCCAGAGCATATTCATGACTTAAGAATCTATTATGAAAAATTAGCAGGTGTGTCACTTCTTCTGAAGCAGTCTTTTAGAATTTTAAATGGCTAGTTTGATGGAATATGAAACAGTTTTTCCTATGTAATTTTACAGCTTCCTTTTTAGTGCATATCTTAAAAAAGCAATGTGTGAATACAAGAAATATGTTTGCAAAACTGAGGAATCATCACAGAAGCCAAATCCTACACCTACATTCATCTTACTGTATGATTAATTTAAGCTTACACACAGGTCAGGAAGTTGGGGGCAAAAGCTGGACTGGGACCTCTGGATGATCATATAAGGATTTCCCTACTAATAATTAATTATGTGCCTCATGTTTATTCCAATTTATGGTGACAGGATTTCTTAATTTTAAAGTGCCCATGTGATTTACCAGTCACTTCTTCTGGTGGCACTCAAGGATTGTGCAGCTTGTCCAATGCTACAAAACTGGTCCTTCTTGTGGAAATTCAAATAAGAAAAATAAAGCCTTCCAATATCCAAAATTATACTAATGAAATGAAGGGAGTGTTGGGTGAGAAATGGACTTTTGTTTGGAAGGATTGTGACTACCTCTGGTAATCCAAATCCTGAGCTCAGAATTGTTTAATTCTAAGTGTGTTTCTTTTTCACAAGGTTCTAGTTAGTGAAACTCAGAATTGTATTAAAAACAGAATAGGTTCTGCCAAGCTAAAGCCTGCCAATCCTAACACAGTTTACTAAAGGACAGCTTGGGCTGATTCCCATGTACTCTTCTGTCACTCTCCTCTCTTCCCTCAAAGTTGCACATCAGAAGCCAATGGATTTCTGCCACAACAGCTCCATGTAACAAGTGAAACTCGAAAGCGACCATCCAAAGGGCAAAACGCCACAGCAGATGGGAGATCTTTATTTTCCTACAAGGAGCTCACTCTCACAAAAGTAAGAAACCAGGTAAAAGCTGCATGCAAGCACAAGGGATCTACAGCTGATCTAACAAAGGATCTACCTCTGTTTAGCAACAAGGTCCTACTTAGCACTGCTGAAAAGACTTTGTTCACTGAAAAAGACTAGCTGTGATGATCATATAACCAAGTAATTATACTTAGCACTGCTGAAAAGACTTTGTGCACTGAAAAAGACTAGATTAGCTGTGATGATCATATAACCAAGTAATTTGTTTTTAGACAAAAGCTTAAAATATCTTATGTTCAAAAAGTTGTCGAGTGTGCAAAAATTCCCCAAGTGAGAGGAAACCTTTCACAAATACCAGGTTCACATACATGCTGTACGACAGTTTGCAAACACGTAACTAAAAAGCAAACCATTTAGAAATGTTTTATAATAAAGCACTATTCTGAAATACACAGAAAATACCACATTCTAAAAAATAAATAATTTCATTACAAATGTTTCATGATCCCTTAATGTTTTTTTTTGTAGAAGAAGGGTTCACAATGGCTATTGCACACCTGAAGTAATGTTATTCTGAAAGGGATTCCCTTTTGCAGATGCCCCTCTGGCTTGGATTGCACACTGTATATGAGAGTATATCTATGCAGCTCAGTGCCAGGCAATACTGCCAACATTTTGCTGATATGAGATCTGCCATCTGGTCAAGAACAGCTTTGTCAATCTGCAGTGATGATATGACAAAAAGTCCTACAGCTTTGTCAGTCTGCAGTGATGATATGACAAAAAGTCCTAGAGCATCAGAAAGATGAATTAACTGTGGCACATCTGACACCATAGAAGATAACTAGTGAATACAGTGATCTAAGCTGCTTCTTAAACACTGAGGCATGACCAACAGATATGTTCTTGGGTGACACAATAAATTTTCCTTCTCTTTTCTAGGGCTCCTTATTCTTTCGCCTGGGCATCTCACTATTATAGGCACGCACCATCCTCCTTACATGTCATGCTCAGACTATTCAAATATATATTGCCTCTATAAAAATAATAGTGTACCATCAAGTCAATTCCAGTCTATGGCAACCCCTTACAAGGTGTTCTAGTTATGAAGTACAGTGGACCCTCGACTTACAGACGGCTCGACTTACAGACTTTTCGAGTTACAGACTTCTCTGGATGCAAAATTTAGATTCGACTTGCAGCCGGAGAATCGACCTACAGACCAGAAAAAACCAAAATGGAACAAAAATAGAATAAAAACTGCCAGTTTTGGGATTAATCAGTTTTCAATGCATTGTAGGTCAATGGAGATTCGACCTACAGACTTTTCGACTTACAGCCACCATTCCAATACGGATTAATTCCTTAAGTAGAGGGTCCACTGTAATAAAATGTGGTTTCCCAGTCCATTTTTTGGGACCATGAAGTTTGCCCAATCTTTTCCAGGGAGGCAAAGAGGGAAGTCGAACTTGCAGCCTCTGGCTCTGCAGCCAGGTATTTCAATCCACCAAGTAATCAGGACTATAATTGCCTCTACACTAGATATCATTTTAAACATTCAAATTAAAAGTAAAATGTAAACACGTTCAGAATTGAAGATGATTGTTAATGATACTGGTGCTTTTTCTATAGTACAGGAGGAAACTAAAGTTCAGAAAGTGGAGTTAATTTACATGTGAGTGCCCAACTGATTGAAATCTCACTTCAAAATATCTGAAAAGCACTGAGCTGGCCAAAAGGAATCAATTGGTCTCTACTGTACTATGGCCCCGTCTTCTCGCGCTCAGATGCCCTCAGCCAGGATCTAAAGGGAAGGGACAGAACTCTTCTTTGGTTTGTAACATTATTTATCATACATCAAAAGAAACACTCATGGCAGAGTAGATCTCAGTTCTTGCAGATGCTCCTATTATCCTCAGGAGAGACTTCATCAGACAGCTAAGTATCTCAATTCAAACTGACAGATGGGAAGGAAAATGACAATTAGCATCTTTCTGAGAAATACTTGACAACTCAAAAGAACAACTCCTATCAAAGGATGGCAAAGGGGAATGAAAATGTTTAAAATACACATTATCTCTCAAATCTTTAATCCATTCTCCAGTTTAAAAGCTCACCATGTATGCTAAGCCACAAGTTAAGGCAACAAAAATTAATGTAATCATTGTGAATTGCTGTATGTAATTAATGAATGTTCAAACCCCAGCTAAGCTACTTATAGCAGTAGAAAGACAATGCTGTATAAGAACTTTTACATGGGTACCAACTTGATTTTTAGTTAATTTTTTAGTAACAAAGGCTACCTTGACATCAGACCTAAATCCATATCAAAAACAAGCCTGAGTTGGCACCTTCACAGTTGTGGCTTTAAGAGAAAAGACATTTCACATATTTATTACACATGTGCAATGGTTCAAAGAATTGCACATGGACTATGATAGAAAATATTGGTTGGCTCAGCTGGTTATCCACAATTCTATGTGAATTCTACAGGATACACAAGTATACTGAAAACATTAAGGTCATTGATGCAGGATCAAATACTGCTAAAAATGAACAGTCTAAATTCTAGCAATTTTCTAATTATTTTGGAAGGCAAGTTAATTTCATTATACTCGTTATGGAAAGAGAACCTTTATCTGAAAAAACATTTCTATTGTACAAAAACGGAATGGTTATATTTCTCATGATACTTTATCAAAGTTTTAAAAATGGAAATAATTTTCTGTAATTCCCCAGGGGTTTTTGTCTGGGCTGTAACATTTTGAATCATAAATTCTGGAAATGAAAGAGGTAAGAATGATCCTTCAAGAAGAATGAAAATGAGTATCATCGAGAAATATTTAAGAGCTAGATATACAATACGTGTGTCTGACCAAATTATCAGCTGTATTTCACTGGCAGAGCACATGCTTTGCACACAGAAGGTCCCAAGTTCAGTCCCTAGTATCTCCACTTAATAGGATCAGATTGTAGATGATATGAGAGACATCAGCCCAGGATCCTGCAGAATCTACCTATAGATTCCAGATAATGAGTAGTTGATCAGATGGGCAAACAGGATGCCCATAAAACAGCTTCCTATCATCCTGTCATCTGTGAATATTGGGAAGGGGATACACAGACATCTAAAATGCACAAATACTCCACTAATATCCTTTTATTTTTCCATCTTGTTAAATCAGAATGAACCATGACTTTAATTTTGTATACTCTAAATCTTTTAGAAGAGAGAAATCAGTTATTTTAGAAATAATCTCTCCTGAAAGTATGCTTGTGTTCTATAAATTTATCATTCATTTTGTAACTTAAATTTTAGTCCTCACTTAAAAGATATTAATCATGCTTTTAAAAATATGGAAACACTTGTCTTTCTGTTAATTTAAAAATACTGATAGAATTGACTGGCAAAATTATGAGCTGAGTGGAAAATGGTAATGAACACTGCTGCTCCACTGCAAAAACTTTCATTTTCCTCATGGAACATATTAACATGACTTGTAAAACAAATGGAGAATAAGGTCTGCATCCAGAAGGGCACCTTTAGATCTGAACAGCAGAATAAAAAATGATTACGAAATGTGCAAATAATTGTCTTAACATTCAGCATCTGACAGTTTCAAAACACATGCCCTATTTATTGCATATGTTTTCTATACCCCCACTACACTTCCTATATTTTCTCTGGAAACATGAAACAGAGCTGTGAAATAGTTTAAAAACATCTTACTTAATTTAATGGCTAGAATCCTATCGGTGATTGCTAAGAACTGCATTAAATTTTTACAGCTAATTATGACAATCAGCCACAGCAAGTTATGCAAATCTTGAACTCTGATAAGATTCCAGCCATATGAATTTTAGTTGATTATATAATCAGTTAATACATCAAATCTGTATAAATCTGCATATGAATTAAATCAGTAATTGTGAAGGAAAAAAGTAGAGTTGCTTAATTTTTAGATAATGTGCAAACATCACAAAAGATATTATCTTAAAGGAGACAAGGAACAATTACTTTTTAGACAACAATTTTCAGAATCTTCCAGTTAGTCATATTGGTTATATTGATAGGGTGATTCTGACAATTATTCTAGCCTTTCTCACACATATAAAGAAAAGGCATTCTCAGGATGGTAGCTTCTATCTGCAGTTTATGCAAACACTTGGATTAAAAATGTTTTAAAAATCTGATACACAGTAAGCAAGGGCACATTTTTAGTTCATTTAGTATTTGCCAGGTAATCTGATTGATTAAACTAATTAAAGGTTGCAGCCCTGAATTTCATTATTAACTGAGAGTTTTAAAAAGAAAATCTACAGGAAGAGACTTCTCAAAGTAATGAAAACATCAAAATACAGTCAAAGTCAATAATTTTATAAAATACTACCTGTCTTCTTCGATTTAGCCAGGTTTAACTGAGCTGTCTCTAGAAATGTAATGGCTGAAATCCAGTAGTAAGCTGCAACAAGAGCAGGCCCACTGAATCAATGGAACTTACAGAGAAGCCGACATCAAATCTGCACTGATTCAATGGGCCTATTTTTGTTGTTATATGTTGTTAAGCTGGAACCAACTTACAGTGACCCTAAGAGGGCTTTCAGGTAAGTGTGATGTTTAAGAAATGGCTTTCACAGTTTTGCTCACCGGACAGCTGATACTTTCAGTATCTGGCTGCAGTACCAGAGGTTGAGAATTTGATTCCATCATCCTGCAAGTAAAGCCTACACGCCCAATTCAAGGGCAACCCCAGAAGAAACCAATTCTGAGTATTCTCTACCTTAAAAACCTTGAAGAGTCGCCATAAATCAGAACTGACCTGATGGCACATATTTATTAGTGTTATTTACTGGTTCCACGCACCCAGGCACATTTCCACAGCTCAGCAGAGATTTGAAGCCAGGCTTCCTGAGTCTAGTCCCTCACTCTATTCACTACACCACATTGGGTATCCAAGGCCTACTCTGCCTGTCACTTATTACTGGATTCCAACCATTATTTCTTTTTCCAAATACAGTGAACAATTCCTCTTGATAATGAATTGCAATCTTGCTTCTTTTCCCTTCTTCCTAGCCAGTGATAAATTTTCACAGGATTACAAAGCCATCTTTTCATACTTTGACCAACCATAGCAGTTTACAATTTTTTTACTGTTTATGCTTTCGATTTTTTTTAATCCCTGAAGATCATTTTAAAGATGGTCTTGTAAACTAATATAGTGAAGCAATGGACCTATACAGCAAAATACATCTTTAAAAATTATGGTCAGGTAGGCCTTGCCTTTTTCCATTAATCCCAATGCAGCTGTAGATCCTGTGGATCAAAAAAATCTGTTGAGAACATGCTTGGACTAGCTGAGCTGAGATGTGTTATTCCCGATGATGTGTTTGGCATTGTAATGTCTAACCACTCCATGTTGTCTAAATTTGTGTCTGGAAGGTCAAGAGATAAACAGGAATGAGTAGTACTGAACTGAGAATCAGAAGTTTCCATAGGTGACTGTGAGTGATCTAGAATATCAGAGTGATTTAGAAGATCATTTTGAAGGTCCTCGATAAGAGACAAAGACTCTCTCTCTTCATTACTGCTTGCTAATTGAACCATTTCATTCCCCGAAGGCAGAGTTCCTTCCAAGAGGGCTTCTAGTTGGTTTTCTAGAGATACAGAGAAATTGCTTGTTAGTTCCAAGGAGAGTGGAGGGGCCGTCTGGACTTGTGGTGGAGGACGTGACACCACTGTGTTCACGGGCATCATGGTGATATTGGCAGTAACTGGTCTCATTTTGGAAATTAGATGAGGTTCTTCCTTGGTAGGCATGGAAATCTCTGTTTGAATAAAAGACAGTGACAGATAGATCAGCAAGGGCTTGTTTGTTTGTTTTACAAAGGAACAAAATAAAATAACGCTACTCTCCACACTTTGGTGCTTTGCTAAAGCAATATATTTAAGTTTTTTTGCACACTGAATTTACATTCTGTTTGGAAAAAGTGAATTTTAAGCAATAAAGGCTTGCATGATGTGATATAAAGCTGCCAAGCTAATACAGCAACACCTGATCAGAATAACTGAAAATATACATTAAACTAAAGGAAACACATGGCCTCCCTGAGTAGAGAACCTGCCCACTTCTTAGTAGCTTGAATTGATGAAGACAGCCACTTATACTCTTCACATTATTTTTGAAATCTTGGATGCACAAATTGTTGCATCACAAGAACTTTATTCAACACAGCAATTCCAAACTGATTACCTGAACTCCACAGAACATACTGTAAGCTCTGCTGTTTAATGATCTGTACATTAGTAGATAGGATATTGCCAACCTATGATGCGGTTGAAGGCCATTTGTACAGCGAGGTAAGTACCCCTTTGAGAGCCATTCTCTGTTGAATAATGAAGAACTCAACAACTAATACATGTTGTCCATTCAATAAAAAGCATCCATTCATTCTGTATTTTTTTACTACAGTTCACCTACAGCAACATCCCTTACACTGGCAATAAACAAACTGGTATCCTCTAGATATTTTGTACTATAATCCTCATCACCCCAATTATATATGACTTGGGGGCAGAAGTTATAGGGCTTGTACTCCAAATTATCTGGAGGGTACCAGATTTCCCAGAGCAAATTGAAGGAAGAACAGGAATCTCCTTACATCATATGTTCAATTTCAATCTAACTCACCTCCACTCTTAATAAGGATATCAAAAAGGTCATCCATTTGCTGGCTGTGTGCGCCAGAAACCTGTAACACAGATGATTGTTTAATCTGCCATCTCATAGAAACACTTTTCTAAGGTGTAAAGAACATTTGTCTTATGTACTATGTCAAGATTATAATAGTCCTGTTCTCCTTAAATTTCTATTTAAAATGTGTACATGTCTGACATGCAATTACTCGTGATGAACATTTGTGCATTTAAATGAGCAGAATTCTAAACTAATCAATGTCAACAAATCAAGTAGTGTTCCTAGGATATTCTTAAGAGATTATGGAAGTTATCCAAGGAAAGCTAATATTTTCCAACTGTCACTTAAAACTTCTATTTCTATTAAGCCCTGTTCAAGTTCCAAGAATTGAGTTAAGCAGGCGTGGAATGATTCTCCCTTTCTCAAATTTATATTAAAGAGAGATTGGTACAGGGATAGGATGTGATTCCATCTTTCTCATGTTATTTCTTAACAAGTATTATACCTGTGAACAGGAGTGAGCTGGTTATAATTCACAAAAGAAATTATGAGGTATTTGGCATTTTGGTAAATGTCCTAACATTGCACCCCTAACCAAAGTCAAAACATTTTCACTTTATTTATTTTTCCTGATCCAGAAACATGCAAATACATGCAGATATCTGCAGAAATCCCAGCACAAATTGGTTCAGGCCACCTCCAAATCAGTTTGGGGTCCATCAGTCCCAAGCTGTGCAACAAACATTTAATATAATTAATTGTGGACTGAACCAAATAGCTAAAAACAGGTATAAAAAATTGCCAGAGGACATGGGGTTTGGTTTTTGTTGGGGGAAACATAGCATACTAAATACAGCAAAATACAACAAGAAAATAAAAAAGACAAGAGCATTTCAGCTCAGTCAGATTGGAAGCAGAAGAGAGAGAGAGAGAGAGGGAGGGAGGGAGGGAGAGACCAAAACACCAAAATAGATGCAAAACAGCTCAAAAACCTCTCACACTGTATGGGCACACATATATGGGTACATGTAAGGACACAATTATTCTATGTAAAGCAATAGACTTCATTCATTGCACTTTCCATTGTACCTCTTGTTGAGAAGCCTGCAAGCTGCGTGTCTGTTTGATGGCTTCTTCATAGCGTGGGGGATCTTTTTTCATGGTAACTGAATTGTTGAACAGAACTTGTTCTAAAGTGTACTGCTGAGGCTGAGACATGGAGGCAGGCTGCATGAAACAATAGCAAAGAGATAACAAATACACATAGCTCCTATGGATACTCCCCTCACTTGTTTCTTTAGAAAAAAAATCCTTAATGACTTCTACACTGCCTCAATTAATTTCATAAAAAAGGGGCCTGAAAGCAGCTACAGTGGTGCTCTGCTAGACGATTACCTTGCAAAACGACGAATCTGCATGATGATGAGTTTTTGCGATCGCTATAGCGCTTTGCAAAACAGTATTTCTTATGGGCAATTTTCACTATAAGATGTTTTGGTCTGTGCTTCGCAAGATGGTTTTTTTTCCCCCGGGACCAATTTTCGCAAGATGACAATTTTAACAGCTGATTGGCGCTTTGCAAAACGGGGGTTTTCGGAACCGATGCTTCGCAAGACAGCAATTTTAACAGCTGCTTGGTGCTTCGCAAAATGGCTTCCCTATGGGCGATTTTCGCAAAACGACGATGATTTGTCCCCATTATAACGCATTAAATGGATTTCAATGCATTCCAATGGGGAATCACATTTCGCAAGACGATGTTTTCACAAGACAGCGATTTCAATGGAATGGATTAACATCGTCTTATGGGGCACCACTGTATTTCCCTTTATTATAGCTGAACAGTAGGTATAGCTTGTTGCAGGAGTAGGTGGCTTCTTTCCCACAGCCTACCCAATCAACCACAGCGTTCTCCTCCTTGTTCCTCTTCCCCATGCTGCAATTAGGATTGGAACGCAATTAGGATTTCAAGTCAGTTACTATGCATTTGGGAGAGAGATCATGGCTGGGGATGGGAAGACCAGCCACACCTCCTTGGTCTACGTGGCAGCAATTAGGCTTATAAACTTACTGGTGGCTTTTTGTTGCAGCCTTTTTCCAAGCCTCAGTGCTGTGGAGAGAGGGGTGGGATCTTCATGTTATCTGGGCAATACAAATGGTGAGATGTTACAAGTTTGTGTTTGTGGATAAGAAGGGGAGAAAAAGTACTTTTACCTATCCCATTTTTTGTGGGATGGGTGGCTTGTGGTCTCTAGAAGGTCACCTACAAGAAAATGTGGCCTTTAGGATGAAAATATTTCACAATGTGTTATTACTTGAAGATTTTTGATCCCAATTTATCAGAAAGGTTTCTTGTAATCAAAAGTCCTTGGATCAAAGAGAAGGTGTTTCCTTTCTTATCCAAAATTCTAAGAGTTTCTACCTTGAAGCATAGCTGCAAACAGTGGCCATTACAGAAGATGTAATGCAGTGATTTCTCTTTAGTATACAATACCTTTAGAGGGGCAATGGGTCCATTTTGTACTAAAGGCCCCTGGTTTCCTGAGTGAACTGCGGTGCTTGTTGCCTGATTAAACAAGGGTTGCTGCTGAGTTGTAACAGACTCATTCTGACAGGAAAACACTGCATTTGGTGAGGTAGAAGAGAATGCCTGACAAAACAAGATGTATTTATTTAGAATTAATGTATGCCGCTTTTTTGGTACTAAAGTGAAGATGGTTTACAATGAAAGTAAAACTCTTTAAAACATATGGATCTGTTTTCACTATTGAATATCATTGTTCTCATCAAAACATGCTGCATTATCCAAACGGATTGTCATAGAGTCACAGAGTTGGAAGAGACGACTGAGGCTGTCCAGTCCAACCCCCTGCCATGCGGGAATGTCAATCAAAGCACTTCCAACAGATGGTCATCCAGCCTTTGCTTAAAAACCTCCCAAGAAGGAGACTCCACCACCCTTCGAGGCAGCCTATTCCACTGCCGGACAGCTCTGTCAGGAAGTTCTTCCTAATGTTCAGATGGAATATCTTTTCCTGCAGTTAGAACCCATTGCTCTGTGTCCTAGTCTCTGGAGCCCTGGAAAACAAACTTGTCCCCTCTTCAACATGACATCCTTTCAAATATTTAAACATGGCCATCATGTCCCCTCTCAACCTTCTTTTTGTAAGGCTAAACATTCCCAACTCCCTAAGCCGCTCCTCGTAGGACACGGCTTCCAGACCTTTAACCATTGTGGTCACCCTCCTCTGGACACGTTCCAGGTTGTCAACATCCTTCTTGAATTGAGGTGCCCAGAACTGGACACAATACTCCAGGTGAGGTCTGACCAAAGCAGAATAGAGTGGTACTATCCCTTCCCTTGATCTAGATACTATACTCCTATTGATGCAACCAAGAACCGCATTGGCTTTCTTGGCAGCCGCATCACACTGCTGACTCATGTTCAGCTTGTGGTCTACCAAGACTCCTAGATCCCTTTCACAGGTAGTGTTGTCTCGCCAGGTGTCTTCCATCCTGTATCTGTGCAGTTCATTTTTTCTGCTTAGCTGTAGGACCTTACATTTCTCCCTGTTGAAATTCATTTTGTTAGTTTTGGCCCAGGATTCTCATCTGTCGAGGTCATTTTGAATTTTAATCCTGTCCTCTGGGGAATTAGCAACCCTTGCCAATTTGGTATCATCTGCAAATTTAATCAACACACTCTCTATTCCTTCATCCAAATCATTGATAAAGATGTTGTCTTCAATAGCTCTGTGTGAATTAGGTGCTCTTCCGTCTTGAGCTCTGGTACGCAAGGTATCCACAAGGAAGTCTCAGAGCTTCTGAGGTCTTTCAGTTCCCTTGTCCTTCTAACTTTTTGTATCAGGTTTCCTAGCAGTGCTAAGTTTCAAACTGACTGGTACAAATTTTAATGATAAATTTTGACTGTCTTTCCAGCTGCTCCTGATTTGTTAAAGTTATTAAGGTTATTAATTTTAATTATTTAGAATAATTTTATCCCGCCTTTCTCCTTAAAAAGAACCCCAAGGCCTCCTGTCTTTTTACTGTCATTAAAAGGACAATAATTTAAAAACAGTAGGCATATAAAGACTAAAAATAATTAAACAAGTATTATATTAGAAACAGCAATAAAATCAATACTAAAACACATTTAAAACAACAGAGCAAACCAATCAATCAAAAAATCATTCTCAGACCACCAGTTATTAAGGGGAAACCTGCATGAAGAGAAAGGTCTTTACCTGCTTGCAGAAGGACAACAAAGACAGGGTCAGCCTAGCTTCCCATGGGAGGGAGTTCCAGAGTCCAGGAGCAGCAACAGTGAAGGCCCGTATCCCCACCAAGCGCACCTGTGAGGTGGTGGGACCAAGAGAAAGGCCTCCCCTAATGATCTTAAAGTCTAAGCAGGCTCATAGAGGGAGATGCCATCTGTTAGATAGCTTGGACCCCATAATTTTGCATGCAGTAACTGCTTATTGACATCTCGTAACAGGTTTAGCAATGCCAGCGGTGGTTTCAACTCAATATTTTGTGAGGTTGTCACGGATACGCAGAATTGAGATATAAGTCAACACTCCTACCACACATGGAAGAACACTGTTTCCCCATGTCTTCAACATATACTGTTTGAATTATTACTGCAAGTATTTCAACAAGAGTCATGTACCATCTGGATGTGATTCTTATACTTGCTTCTCTTACTTCTCTTAAATTAAGTACAAATGTCTGAAATTCCCTTGAAAATCAACAAAGAATCTTCTGTTTTGAAGTAGAACGGTGACTTTTTCTATTAGACCATGATCTTTAGTATGGAGGTAGACCTTTTCAAGCAGCAGTTGATGGTGGACAGTATTATATTCTGCTGTAAGGTTGACAAATGCTGTTCCAGTTATTGGATGTGTTTCAAAACCATCTTCCATATGCTGGGTATATTGCAAAGTGGTTTTCAAGCAAGTATTCTGGTAATACTACACCGAGGTAATGACAGTAATATGTTCATATTTTTAAGCATCAAAATAAATTCCAGTATCATATTCTGGATTTCGTTGCATATTATATCCTCCATTACAGGAGGCTGCCTATGGAAAGCGTCAGGATACTTCAGCGGGTTCAAAACAAAGCAGTGAGATTGTTAACTGGGACTGGTTACAGGAATCAGATAATCTCCCTCTTGCGGCAACTCCATTAGCTGTCAATCGATGTCCAGGCTGAATGCAAGGTGTTGGTTCTAACTTTTAAAGCCCTAAACAGCTTTGGCCCAAGCTATCTCAAGGACTGTTTCTCCCTTTATGAGCCTGCTCGATTGTTAAAATCATCAGGAGAACCCTACCTCTCGGTCCTACCACCTTCACAGGGCTGTTCGGTGGGTACATGGGAGAGGACCTTTTCTGTCACTGCTCCCAAACTTTGGAACTCCCTCCCACAGGCCAGCCTGCCCCATGCCCCCCATGTTTGCTGTCCTTGCATAAGCAGGCAAAGCCTCTTCAGGCTGGCATTCCCTGAGTGACTGGCTGCCTGAGTGGGAATTTTTTAAAATGAATTGTTATATACCTTACTCCTTTGAGCGTGTTTTGGTGTTGCTTATGTTTCTTAGTTTGGTATTTGTTTGATCATTTTTAGGATCTGTAAATTCAATGTTTTTAGCTTTAATATAGTCTTTTAATTATGTAAGCTGCCTTGGACCCTTTTAAGGAGAAAGGCAGGGTAACAATATTTCAAATAAGCACAATAATAAATCCAGAAGACAATATAATTTTAGATGTGGATGATTTACAAACCATAAAGTAGGATTTTTTTTCAGCTACCTATAAGTATGCAATTAATCTGTAAGTATATAAATATTCACCAACCTTTCTGTTTTGTGGGGTGTCGCCAAGTGCATGTTGTGAGGAAGCATTTTGTTTGGGTACTGAAGTGTGTATCCGCGGAACATTTTCTGTTGAACATGGTAAATTAGAGGAAGAAGATACATGTGCCATGCTTGGAATTTCTGTTTGTGGATGGACCTAAAGAAGAAGAAATGGCTTGACTTCATGTGATACTATCCATACTTATAAAAACCATGAAGACCCAACAGTATTATTCCTCAGTGTTTCCAACAATTTACATACATTAATGATTCTAGCACAGTTATAATTCATCTTTTAAATGTTAAACTTTCACAGCTATGAGGAATATGTTTGGGTAGATGTACACAGTCCATGAGTTGCAGCTGTAATGTGTTAATGAGTAGGAACACAGAGAGGTCACCACCACTGTGGCTATATTTGGCTTATCTTCTATGATTTCACATAGAAGACGTGATAGCATCCGAGAGCTAAGGAAGAATCTCAGAATTAATTAAATTGTGTGGTAACAAAACCTGGTATGTAAAATGCTTTTCCACATGTCAATGATCTTCGGATGACATCTTTGTCAATGTGGATTTGCTAAGAAACTTTAGGGGCTTTCAAATCATCATCATCATTACAGAACTGCAGAAACGGAAGGGACCCTATGGCTCATTGAGTCCAGCCCCTGTCAATTCAACTCCCAACCTCTGGCTCCATAGCAAGATACCTAAACTACTGAGCTATCCAGCAATCCTATATGGCAGAGGTCCCCAACCCCCAATCTGCGGCCCGGTACCGGGCTGTGGTCTTGGCAGGACCAGGCCACGGAGACAGATCTCCCACCCCTCTGCATGCACTGCCCCCACCCACCCACATGGCCCACCCAACCGCATGCACGGGTGCCCCATCCATCTGCGCAAGTGCACCCGGGGGCCCTGCACATGCGTGAACATGTGCCCACCCACCTGTAAGCACACCCCACCCACCCATGAGTGCCAGAGGTGCCCCATCCCCGCCCACGGACCCTGCCCCCCCCAACTGGTCCATGGTTTGGAAAAGGTTGGGGACCACTGCTATATGGCACTCTCTGCCTTGCAATGAATCTCCTCAGACTGAAGGATATAATCCTCCCTTGAATTTTCTTCAGTTGTCCTGACTACCGGACCAACTAGCCCAGTGTTTTTAAACTGACTGCTAGCAGCATTTCAAGGTCTCTTACTACGACCTTTCTCGGCTCAATTTCATGTCAAAGTGCAATAATCCATTTAATGTATGATTCAAGTATTGAATCTGCAACTTTCTACATACAAAACACATGCTCTATCACTGTCTTATCCTTTAATTTTTGATCCATATCTGTGAACCCCCATATTGAATGTATTGTTTTATGGGTACTTGTGGGGTTTGAAGTTTTAATCCATAAACCACCCAGAATAGAGTTTGCGCTAAGGAGGTGGTATAAATAAATAAAGATGACGACATGTATTTTTCAGGGGTAAGGGAGACAGATGTAGCCAAAATCAAACATCTTGTATTATACACTCACTAGCGAGGGGCTTTTATTGCTGAAAGTTCTGCATACAGGGACCGTCCAGCTCCAGAGAAAATGTGGTAAGAGTCCGTGTGCTTACCTAAACCCAGGACTGCTTCAGAACACTTTTCTCTCATCAGCCACCTGGACTCACCTGTTCTAGTTCTAGCTTAGCAGGAATGTATTGGGCAACTTTTTTTTAAAAAAATGCTAATGTGAGAAAATAATGATGCAAAGCAAAAAAGCATTTCTACAATTTTTCTGGAAAAAGTTCTCAAGTGCCAGAAAAGAAAAAGCTCAAGAATATCATAAATTGAGCCAGGAAAATACTTTTAAAATTTGTCAATCTTACCTTGCAAGAATGAAATAAGCAAAGATTGGCATCCCTTCTTAGAACCTGTTAGCTTCACAGAAGGAGGGCAGGTTGCCTGTAACTGACATTCTTCAAGTGGTCATCTTTGAACTCACAGAAAAGGACCTTCTGCCTTTGCAGACTCCTGTTTTGGAATGTTTCAGAGAGAAGCAGCTTTTTGGAAGGGCCCCTGACCCCATTCTCACCACAAACATGTCATAATAGCTCCTCCTAAGTTCCCGTTTCCCACCAATGACAGAATCATGGGAGGCAGGTGGGTCTGTCTCAGTTCACAGACGACCAAAGAAGCAATCCATCCTTTTTTTTTTGTCTCTGTGAATTGGGTGATGCATTAATTCACCAGAGAAAATGCCGCATTAATACTGAAGAAGGTACTATAGTGATAGGCTGGACTTCAAGTCTGTAATAGTTCACAAATGGGAAAGGGCAATTTGTGACTGTTCTACAAATGACAGGTAGTAGAATACCCCTCATTGAAGTCATAGATGGCACTACTGCTCTTGTGCAAAGGCTGTGTTTCTGGACCAAGAAATATGGAAGAACATAGTTGCAGGTTTGTGACCCAGATAAAGAAATAGCTGTTGTGACTCACTTTGCAAAACATGGGGCAGAAACAGCTGTCTACTACAAACCCTCGGTGTAGTGAACATAAAATGAAAAGTCAACATAAAAGGCAAAGACCAGGAAAACACAAAAAATGCATCAATTTTTCCAAATCATTTGGCTGTGTAAAAGGTAGGGAGGATAAATGCTTGACCTGAAAATCGGACACTATCTTGGGAAAAAGTCACATCCAAAAATGGCTTCCCCACATAAAAAGCTACGAAAGAAGGATCATTCTGTAGAACCTACAACTGTAAATCATGAGAGCTCAACTAGCAGATGTGCTTGTCATAAGGAAAGCAGTTTTGAATGCAAGTACACATTCACCAGAACCACAGGCTTAAAAGGTGAACACATCATCTCAATCAACACTGCACAGACAGACAGTGTACGAAATCAAAGATGTTGTCTCCAGCCACAATTGCTGCATTGTCAAAGAAAACTGTGAAAGGCAGCCTCTTTTTCACTGCCATAACAAAGTAAATACTGTCTCAGATGTGGCTGGTTGACAATTCAGTAGCAAATGTCTTGAAAAATGTCTATTCATAAGAATATGAATGCTGAATGGAGGGCTTCCTTGAGTGCTGGTGGAAATATTAATGTGGCTTCAACTGCATATACAACATGCACTGGGCTAAAAAGGCATAAAGAGGTGGAGCATATGACTACATTTCAAGCATTTGAAACTGGCAGGAAACCTATCCATCAAGCCACTGGGCAGTTAGGGTGAGGAAGTGCAGCAAGCAATGGTTGCTATTACATCTCCCCTCAGTTTTCTTCTCTCCTCTGAACTTGCTCCCTTGTTAAGTTTCTTCCTGTTGTTTTCATCTCAGTGTTCAAGCCTATCAATATTTTTTTGTATTTTGTTCCCGTCTTCCAAGGTATTGGCTATTCTACCCAATTTTGCATCATCTGAAAATTTGTTAAGTGCCACAGTCCCCTTTCCTTGTTGGAGCTACTAAATGCACAAACTAGTTGCTGCTGCTTTCTGAGGATCCCCAGAAAGAGGTACATCTGGTCCACAAAGCCTCCACAAAGGCTGATTTAGAGGAGGCAAGGAGTGGCCCATTGGTCAGCAAAGTCTGTGAACATCTAACAAGGAAGTCTACTCGAACCTCAACTGCATATGCAACATACAAGCAACATAGACAGTGATGAGGTTTATTTTAAGCTTCCAGTTCCACTTCCTGCTATGAGTTCTCCCACAAATACCTGATTGTTCAATCGTTCAATCCAATCTTTACAAGTGCTGTTGGGTGAGATGTTCATGTGCAACTGCAGTTCTGCTTTGATTCTTTCTTCATTCACTTTCTCTAAAAGTCATTTAAAGTCATTGCTGCTTTTTGCCAATAAGATAGTATCATCTGCGTATCTTAAATTATTGATGCTTCTTTCACCAGTTTTCACTCATCCTTCATCTGAATCTAATTCAGCTTTACGTATGATACTTTCTGCACACAGATTGAACAGATAAGGAGATAAACACATCCTTGCCTGACAACTTTGCCTATAGGAAACCATTCTGTCTCTCCGTATTCTGTCCTAACGATTGCTTCTTGTATACAGCACAAATTAATGCATCGGCACACCCAACTGCTGAGTTACACCCATTTCTTTTATAATAATCCATAGTTTCTCATGATCCATACAGTTGCTTTAAAAGGGACGTGGAGGCCATAAAATGATTAAAAAACCACTCTATTGAGAAAAAACTATTCTATTAAAATTACAAAAAGAACTGCTACAAACTACTACTGAGGAAAAAGCTACTTTAGTAATGGAAGAAACTCTTGAACATTCCTTTGACTGCTATCAGCATTGTGGATGAAAAGGAACTAAGATGCAGCTGTTAGGGTTGGTAACATGTAGTGCAAGTGAAGCTGAGATTCCCCCCAAAAAAGTTACTTGGTCTGAAATATTCCACACAGAGCTATGTGAAGGCATAAGATCCATTTGTGTGAGTCACAAGGACCATGAAGAAGAAAGTATAATTTCTTTGAATGTTGTATATGTGAAACATCTTACATTAAGTCAGGCACAGGTGAAATTCCCTCATTATATGATATGGCAGAATGCTGGCAAGGACAATCATACTTAAAACAGAATGGTCTAACCGACATCTATGCAGCAATTCAAAGGACTGGACATAAAATTAACAAAGAAGCAACATTTCCTTGAACTACTATCAAGGTCTGAACCTAAAAGCATGACGGCCTTTGCCTTACACAAGCCTTAAAGCGACATCTCAAGATTCAATGCTGTGTTCAGACAAGGAAGCAGTATTTAAGGATTTTCACCTACCTATGAGATCCATTGTGTTGTTCTACTTGCTACATTAAGAACACCAAATTAGCTCCAGGTCTACATTTCTATTGATATGCACAAATCAAAATGGGTTTGCCCTGCTTTGTCAGTCATTATTTCAGCTGCTTTCCTTGCTGGGATGCAGAATCTCTGAAATCTCATTTTTACAAGGTATTCTTTACACGTGTTTCCCTATATCTATCAACACAATTAAAAAATAAAGTCAGAATTTTATTGTCATTTAAAGTTAAAAGAAACTCCCTTTGACCAGCAGAAAAATGAACTATGTAACTTATTCAAATATTAAAAGCAGAGAACACTCTCATACCTGTACCTGGATATTGCCTAGAGATAGCTGCACTGGAGTGGCTGAATTTGGACCCTGGAGAGAGAGTGGAAGTAGCAGCTGTGTTGTTCCTTGTGCAGTAAGTAGCGCCTGAGGCTGAGCAATGACAGCACTTTGTGGCTGTCTCTGGGAATTTACACAGAACTGAGATAAAACGTTATGCGGTTCAGCTTTGGCCAAAGGGACTTCATGCTTGATAACAACAGCCTTTTTGGCAACAACGTTCTGGACATCCACTGACATTCCCTGTCCTAAAGAAGAGTTGGCTTCAGGTATTGATTGTCTTGCATCAGAGCAATCTGCTAAAGTGCCTTCTTCTTTGACACCAGGACTCACACGCTTCTGACTCAAAGTCACTGCTACATTAGCTGAGGCTTGAGACTGCTGGTGCTGGCCCCGCTTTTCCACCTCGAGTTGCATTTTCAGCACTTCTACAAGTTTCTGCTCCTGTTCCAGTTTTCTTTTGAGCTCTTCAATCTGCTTTTCTTTCTCTTGAAGTTTACGGTCCTTTTCTGCCACGTCAAGTTCCATATTTGCCATGCTTCCACTACTGTGATCATTGTCACTTGCGGTCAGCTTAAGAGGTGAGGTACCCAGGAGCTGTGAGGGGGACATCATAGTAATAATTTCTGTCAAAGTATCTGCCATGTTAGTGTCATCAGTGCTCAAACTGGATTGCTCCGAAGGAGGTGGGGAAACGGGCAAAGGGGAGCTGATGCATTCCATTGATATTGATTTGCTGCCATTTCCAACCGAATTTGTTTCAGAAGGAAAGCTGGTGGGAACAGAACTAACTGCTGGTTTATTTAACGTAGCAACAGGAAATACTGCAGCTACTTCGCCAGGATTAGTGGTGCCGTTAGAGGAAGGTGTTACCACCACTGCATTACTTGAGCTGACGGCATTGTTGTTCAGATCCTGATAAGATTTCAAACGCTCAATAAGATCCATTTTTGTTCCAGAGACTGGCAACCCTCTTAGCTTTAGTTCCATTTTCAGTTCAGCCACCTGAGATTTATAAAATAAAATAAAATAAAAAAGTTAGACAGTCAACCAGTATTTAGACATCTCTAACAGTTTCTAACTCGGTTGTCCAAACATTGATTGCTCAATTACAAAAAATTGGAAGCAAAATTGGGTTTTCCAATTACACAAATGATTTAATGAAATTTGGAATATTGTGATTAAATGACCTCTACAATTAATTGACCTTTGAAATTAAGTTTAAATAAGGAGAGATAAAGATAAACAGATTTAATGAAATATGGGATGAATTTTTGTGCTATATGTGGAAAGGGAAAGGGGAAAATCTGGACCAGGAATATATGTAGTTTTGGAGGAGATATGACATCAGTTAAAAGATGGATTTAAAGGAGAAAAAATATGTAAAATATAATGGTCTCCAGGGTGAACTGAAATTAAGTTTAAATAAAGAGAGATAAAGATAAATAGATTTAATGAAATATGGGATGAATTTTTGTGCTATATGTGGAAAGGGAAAGGGGAAAATCTGGACCAGGAATATATGTAGTTTTGGAGGAGATATGACATCAGTTAAAAGATGGATTTAAAGGAGAAAAAATATGTAAAATATAATGGTCTCCAGGGTGAAGGAAGCACTAGGTTTTTGTGCTTTTATAATATATGTAATTTCTGTGGATGGTATGTGTAATTTTATGTTGCATTATTTTAATATTTTTTAACATTAAAAAAAAGAAAAGGAAGTCGCGATACTGAAGTCTGCCTTTTGTGCTTTGCATTTATAGAAACATTGTTGTTAGCTTCAGTTCCAAGATATAGAATATACTGTTGATCACAGGTCTCACCTCTTTCCTACTAGAAGGGATTTACATGAACACTGTAAATACAAGACAATTGTAAGCCGGACAGCATCTTAACAATTAACCCTTATTATTTTTATAATATGAGCTATTGTCAACTGCAATCTCCTTCAGTTCTATGAAGCAGAATTATTAATGAGAAAAGCACTTAGAGATTATTATCAGAATTTAAAAATTACTATTATTTCTATTCTGTCTGCTTTTAAAGTAGTTCATGTTGTCATACTTATTGTCCTCCTACTCACGCCATGCTCACAGGCAGCCAGAGAAACAGTTTATACCACCCACATTATATTAATTGCCCTATTCAAGAAGAAAGCACCACTGAAGTACCATTGGCGGTGTTTGTAAGCAAGTAATAAACGGCAATGAACCAAGTGAATAAAAGGGGAACAGGTAGCTTAGGAAACTTTTGGGATTCTGTAAAGTACTACTTTCACACTGAAACTTTTCATTCATAAATATCAGTGTAGCCTTCTTTTTACCTTTAAGTCATCCAAACTAGGAGGTAGAGGTCCTGGTTTTCTGTTGAGAATATTTGGTTTTTGTGTGCTGCTTGTTGCTGAAGATGTACTACTGCTCAAAGTATTCAGTAACGCATTACCAGTGTTATTCTGATTGTCATTAATTGACCTTCAATGAAAAAAGAAATTAAAGTTCAAATTAACACTTCTCACACTCTTTCCTTTTCATATGCATTCCCCTGAATCGTCCATGATTTTCCATTTAAGTCTGAAAAACTGTGTATATTCCAAATGAGGAAGATGCTATTAGCAGAATTTTAAAACACTGAAGCTTTGTTTGGCGTCTTGATACTGTGGTACCTCGCTAGACGACCTCGCAAAATGACGAATCCGCATGACGATGAGTTTTTGCGATCGCTATAGCAATTCGCAAAACAGTGATTCCAATGGGCGATTTTCACTGGATGATGTTTGGGTCCTTGCTTCGCAAAGCGTTTCTCACAAGACGATTTTAACACTGATTAGCGCTTCGCAAAATGGGTGTTTTCGGACCGCTGCTTCGCAGGGCAGCCAATTTAACAACTGATCGGCGCTTCACAAAATGGCTGCCCTATGGGCGATCTTCGCAAAGCGACGATGATTTTTCCCCATTGGAGTGCATTAAACGGGTTTCAATGCATTCCAATGGGAAAACGGTTTTCGCAAGACAGTGATTTCTATGGAACAGATTATCAACGTCATGCAGGACACCACTGTATCTTTAACAAGATATGTTAATAAAAACATGCTTTACGTGGGTATTTAAATTACTGGAAGGAATTATTTCTGGAATAAAGTAATAACCTGTAAAGCATTTCGTGTACCACATAAAACAACTCCTTCCACATGGTTAAAGTGCAATGCGGATTTTTTTTTTCCTGATTAGCCCTACCCACAACATGGGGAAGGAAAAAAAGAACGGGCAAAGCCTTACATACTTGAGAGGCGCAGGAAGGATTGTCTGGTAGTTGTAGTGTTGTTGTTGTTGGCTCAGGATCTGGAGTTGCAAGAAAAGTTGTTGCTGCTGTAGCAAGCGAGCATAGTTGGAATCCATCTGTGGTTCATTCTTCTCACCTTTCTGATCAGGTGGGATGTACTGGTGGTATTTCAGCTTCTTCACTTTGGGCTTTGGTTCTTTGCATTTCTTGCTTCGAGGCTTGTCATTTGGATTCCTGGGGTGGGGTTGCTTTTGGAAAAAAATATGTATTAAAACTATGGATTTGATCCAAAAGGTAAGTCCAATGTTGCTGATTTGCACAAACACTAAATACATTTTTTTTCTTTTTGTAACTGTGCATCCAAAAATTTAATATGTGTTGGAAAGTGCTGCTCCACTCATGTCCAGCTTGCTTTTGCAGACAGAGAATGCTGAATTAGATTACATTGGCTTCAAATCTGATACAGCATAGCAATTCTTCTACAACACATTCCCTGCATGGAGATACATGAATCTCACAATCATACACAATTCTGAATTTATTCAACATCTGTAAGTGTATATTGGTAGAATGTCCCATGAAATCTTAAAATTCCATTGGATGGTAACTACCCTATTTCCCTGAAGATAAGACCTAATCTGAAAATAAGCCCTAGTATGATTTTTAGCACAAACAATAAATTACACTAGAGAACGCCCATTTTTAGGCAACTTCTCCATAAGTTCCATTGATTCAAATGGACCAACTTTAGTTCTGACTTACTTTAGCTTAGTAAGCTGCAGCTAGAGTAGGCCAATTTGAATCAATGGAAATTATGAAGGAGTTGACCTATTAATCCATCCATTGATTCAGTGCATCTATTCTAATGCAATTTACTCTGCTGAGAAACAAGATTTTAGCTATCATGATTTAATAGCAAAATTGGTGGAAGAATATCTTTCCCCTATCCTGTAAAGCCCACTACTTTGGCTGGCAGCAGAATAAATATTGTTGAGACATACATGCTGATATATGAAAAATACAAATTCTGGAATAATGTAATGCCTGTATGTCACAGAAACATGAAACATTCATTTTAGGAAGACATTGAACATATCCTTCAATACCACCTAAACAAAGGTACGCTTGGGATTTAAATAAATGCAGGTTTATTCAAGGCAAATTCAAATCCTAATAATAACTTTTTAAATATCCAGTGGTGCCTCACTTAATGAGCACACCGCAGAATGACGAAATCGCATAGCGATGAGGTATTTGTGATCGCAAATGCGATCGCATACCGATGCCCCCTATGGGCAAAACTCGCATTGCGAAGATCGGTAAGCGTTTCGCTTACCGATCTTCACATTGCGATGTCGGGGAGAACAGCTGATCGGCGGGTCCTAAATGGCCGCCGGAAGCCCCAAAATGGCCGCGTGCAGGGTTTTCGCACCCTGCCCTCGCTTACCGAGGGTGCGAAAATGGCTGTCGGACCCTGGAAACATCGCTGAACTGTGAGTTTTTTGCCCATTTGGAATGCATTAAATGATGTTTAATGCGTTCCAATGGGCTTCCCCGTTCCGTACAGCGATGTTTTCACATAGCGAGGGTTAATCCGGAACGGATTAACCTCGCTATGCGAGGCACCACTGTAAATTGGAAGATACTATTTGATGAAAGGTCTAAATGAACCTTCCTTCCCATTAATGCTTATTTTCTCTAATAAATTATTCCTCTTTAAGGAACAGAACTTGATTGTGGCAAAAGCTTAGCATAAAGATATTCACTAAATAGGCACACAACCAGAATTGTTTCTTTCATATGCAGCTAAAATTAGCAAGTTAGCTAACAGAAAAATTATCTTTGCTGTTTCTTGTTTCAACTGACTGTTCCATAGAAACCATAATATTAGCATAAGATCTTAACTACTTCCTTCTGTTCTTGTGCTGTGAAATTTTCCTTTTGTTAGGGAAAGCACTAAATTTAAATTAGACAGATACAATGCTTTTACTTTATCTTACCTTTATTAGTGTTGGCCCGATGCAGTGTTTTGCTGTAGATGTAGTATTTGTAGTAACAGAAGCAGCAGTTGTACAGCGTGTACTGTGCTGATTTGTAGCAGCTGACTTCAGAAGTTCAGGTACTGATGATGTTAATGCTGAATGCTAATAATAATAATAAAAAAGAAATAAAACTAGAAACATTACTCAAATCTTCTCCAACAAGGCACTGTTCTAAGTCAATTTCATAGAATCATAGAATAATAGTGTTGGATGGGCCTATAAGGCCACCGAGTCTAATCCTTTTCTCAATGTAGGAATCTAAACCAATGTATATTTAATTTTCCCTTGAATGCCTCCAGCACTGGAGTATGCACCATCTCCTGAGGGAATTGGTTCCATTGCCATACTGCTCTAATATTAATAAGGTTTCCCCGATACTCAAACAAAACATGGTTGCCTGTAATTTCAGCCCACTATTACATGTCTTGCACTCCGGAATGATCAAGAACAGATTCTGCCCCATATCTGTATGACAATCTTCCAGGAATTTGAAAAGTGCTATCATATATCCCTACAGTCATCTTTTATCAATGCAAACATGCCCAGTTCTTTCAGTCTTTCCTCACAGGGCCTGATTTCCAGTTTCCTAATAACCCTTGTTGCCTTCCTCTGAATTTGTTCCAATGTGTTGGCATTCTTCTTAAAGTGTAATGTATAGAACACACCAGTGCCAAGTAGAGGGGAACTAGTACTTCATGTGATGGCGCTGCAGGTTAAACCACAGAAGCCTCTGTGCTGCAAGGTCAGAAGACCAGCCGTCATAAGATCGAATCCACGCAACGGAGTGAGCTCCTGTTGCTTGTCCCAGCTCCTGCCAACCTAGCAGTTTGAAAGCATGTAAATGCGAGTAGATAAATTGGTACCACCATGGTGGGAAGGTAATGGCATTCTGTGTCTAGTTGCGCTGGGCACGTGACCATGGAAACTGTCTACACAAACACTGGCTCTTCAGCTTGGAGACGGGGATGAGCACCACACCCTAGAGTCAGACATGACTGGACTAAATGTCAAGGGTAATCTCTACCTTTACCTTAGTACTTCACAGGATTTGGAGACTTTGCTTCTGTTAATGTAGCCTCCAATAGGATTTGTCTGTTTTTGCAGTCCCATTGCATGGTGAGCTTGTCATTTACTATTCCAAAATCCTTCTTGTTTGCAGTATTAGGGAGCCACGCATCCCCCATCTTCTAACTGTGCATTTGGTTTTTTTGCAGTCCCAACGCATGGTGAGCTTGTCATTTACAACTATTCCAAAATCCTTCTTGTTTACAGTATTAGGGAGCCATGCATCCCCCATCTTCTAACTGTGCATTTGGTTCCCCCTCCAAGGTGTATGACCTTGCACTTATCCCTGTTAAATTTCATTCTGTTGTTTTCAGCCCAGTGCTTGAGCCTATCAAAATATTTTTGAATTTTTGTTTTCCAGGCTTTTAAGTTATTTGACTCTATTTTGTGTCATCCACGAATTTGATAAGCATTCCCTACAACCAGAGATGGAGATTCGTATTCATGTACAAATGTCCCCACGCAGCTGGACATAATGGATGGGTCAGCCGCAGGGGTCAGCCCCCCATCGAACACACCTATGAAAAGTGATGGAACCAAGAGAAAGGCCTCTTCTGAATATCTGAACATCTGGGCATACTCATAAAGAAAGATGCAGTCCTTGAGACAGCTTGGACCCAAGCCATTTAGGACTTTATAGATTAAAACCAGCACTTTGAATTGTGCCTGGAAAGGCTAGGTTAGTTACTGTAACTGGTTCTTTGAGTGGATCTCCATGAATTCACACCAATGAGTAACATACTGCACAGCGTAAATTCTCAGAACTTTCTAGAGCTAAAAGTCAGGAGATTGTTAGATGCCCTGCCCTCCCCATTGCCTGTTTGCGTCTCTAATGGTCCCCCCTCACTTCCTCAGTTGCAGCTTGGAAAGCAGAGTGACAAGAAGGGAGGAGAGAGGGATATGTGAATTCACGGAGATTCACTCGAAGAACCAAAGATATGGCAAGTAACTTATCCTTCTTCATTGTGGCCTCCGTGAATGCACACCAATGGATGAGTAGAAAGCTCACTTACCAGTCAGAGGATTGTCACGAAAGGACAGAAGCCAACACCGCTCTACCCACAGTAGCAGCAGACTACTTGCATGTGTCAAGACAACAGTGAGAGACGAAGATAGAAGGCTGTGCACAGGTGGCAGCAGCACAAATGTCATCCAGAGGGACACCTTGCAGAAAGCAAGTGAAGACGAGACAGCCCTTGTCGAGTGCACCTGCACCATTATCGGTAAGGGTTGGCAAGCCAGCTCATAAGAAAGAGTGATGGTGTTGACAATCCACCTGGCAAGCCTTTGAGTGGAGACAGGAGAGCCAGCCATGCCTGCCAAAGAATTCGGCAGCAGTCATATGAAAATTGTGAGTTTTAGTAGTGTAGAAAACCAGAGCATGCCTGACATCCAAGGAGTGAAGAGATTGCTCAGGTGGAGGATGGAGATAGGCGAAAAACCGCTAAAATGATGGAGTGGGTAAGGTGAAAGTGACAGCGCACCTTCGGAATGAAGGAAATGTCAGGGTAAGCAACCACTTTGTCTTTGCATTACTGAAGATAATGGGGGCTCATGCTGTGAGTTCATGGGCTTGTTGAGCAGAGATGATGACCACAAGGAAGACCATCTTCAATGTCAGGAAACGGAGGTGAGGCTCAAAAGGTTTTTGTAAGACAGTGGAGAACTAGCGAAAGGGACCACAGGGAAGGAGGGAGGACATCAGGAAATAAGTTGTGAAGGACCTTGAGGAAGTGCTTCATTGTAGCATTGTACAACGCTTGAATGGGCCTGAAGAGGCCATAAAAAAGGCAGGGGGGGAGACAAAAAGAAGAGATAACTCAAAGGGAAATGTCAGTAAATGAAAAACTTGATTAAGTCCGTGATCCAAGAATCGAAAACGTTAGGCAGTCTGTAAGATCAGAAAATCACAAAATCGCTCTAGGAGAGTCTACAGGAGTCAGATTTCAGTGGCAACTAAAAGGAACTGAGGTATTACGGGCGAGTGGAGCATGTGTGCCACGGGGCAACATCCTACTAATCATGTCTTTTTAAGCTCTGGAATATTCCAAGGACTCCTGCGCAGGCGCAGTAAAACCCATTTGTGTGCATTCACAGAGGCCACGAAGATGAACATGTGTGTACTGTAGGCGCATTGAGTGGAATGAGCTTACAGGCTCTACTTCAGACTTTTATATTCATCATGCAAAAGTCTCTATGAACTCCAGTAGGAAGCAGACATGGGAGTAGAATTTACATGTGTCTCATGTTCCCTGCCATCTTTTTACACCTGTATAGGTTCAGATGTGTACTGTCCTAAAAAGGTCTGTAGAGTTTGCAGAACCTGGTTTCTCCTGGCATGGAAAACCCTGAGTGCTGGGAATACCTTCTAGTGCTCTACAGAAGGCTGTGTTACCTCCTGTTGTACATATACATTTAGTTAAACTGAATGGACAGACTTATCAAAGTTATGAATGTCACTACCAAATCTCTCAGGTTTACATAAAACATAGACCTCTATCAAATAGAGAAAAATGTTATTTAAAGAATATTTTTAATAACATCAGAATATGGCTACACCTATGTTTGAGACTATACCTGGGTAGAGGAGGAGGTTGGTGTGGCTGGAGATGTTGCTTCTCTTGTTTT